TTGGACCAAAGTTTGACTGTTAAACCATACGAAAGCTTCATTAAAAATATAAAGCTTAATGTCAATATATTTTGGGTAATAACCAATATATCTCTCCTTCTGTACGCCAATGGGCATTGGAGTGATATTTAGATATTGTGGCCTTTTTATATAATATATAATGTAAACATTACGTACACAATATAAATGGTATGCCAATTCGTATTCAATACTAAATATGTCATATGAAATATGAAAAATTATTCTTTTTGCAAAAATATTAGACTCTTTGCATTGGGATAGCCCGTTTGTAAACTACTTATTATTTTTCTAAACCACCTGCTTTTTTCAGGTTTATTTTATACAGACTAACAGTAGTCTTAATAATTGTAATTATTACATAGAAATAATAATTATACTTATTCATTTCAAGTGCAATTTATTGTAAAAAAAAAATCAATAGAATTATTATATATCATTTTAACTGAATATGTATAGTACCTATTACATTGTATCAGTAATATTATTTTGTATTACCAACAAAAAAGAAAATATGTAAAATATTTAATTATTGTTACATGTGGTTTTTTGTGGAATTTTGAGCTAAACAATACATTATTTTTCTGATTAGCAGATATATTTATTTTGTATGGTGTTTTAAAAAAATATTTTTGATAATCCTACCCTTCAAATACCCTACAACATAACTTCTAACTTCAACTATAACTAATTTCTATTTCTAGCTAGAGAAAATAAGTCAAATAAAACAAAGATCTCACAACATCGTACACTATTCTATCATTATTCCAATTACTAATCCGTACATATTTTTAAAAAATGTTTTAAAAACTAACTAAAACATACATTTGCATATCGTTTCATAAGCAACTTACCACATCAACCATAACATGACCATCAGGAGCCCATGTCTGTCGGCCCGCCTAATCCTATATTCGTAAGGGCCAAAGCCCATGTCCATTCGAAACACATCCCACGTTCGTCGGGCTGGTGTCCACGTCCATTTGAACCACAGCCCATGTCCATTTGGACCATAGCACACGACCGTCGAGCCACTTCGAATCACTTCGAACGCATATTATATAATAACGAATATTTCACAGCGAATATAATCAACCAATTCCAGGCGTAGACCAATGCACGTTTTATCGACTATATATACATACATAATGAATATGGCTCATCAACCTTTAATAATTGATAGACACTATAGACACTGCAGAAACGTTACAACAAAAGAAACGAACTACAGGAATAAAAAAGTGAATTATACGACGAAATAATACAATGTTCAAATGGGTCTCGTTGATAGACCCTTTAACCGAAAAAGAAAAGAACCCAAAGGAAATACGACCATTTTCCATGATATAAACCAAGGGTTCACCGAAATCAAGCAAAATACGTATCAAGTGCACAATGAGTTATACGATTTAACAAAAACTTCGAAAAATACAGTATTCAGATGTGTAAATCGAGATTACACTACCCAATGTAGAAAAAAACATCCAATATTTTGATAAACCAAAGCTTGTCAACAGTCGTACAGATTTGAATAAGATGAAAACGAGAAAAAAAGAAAAGAGGATCAGGCAGAGTCAACCAACATGAAGCAGGAGACACAAATCGACGAGAAGGACGGCTTTTTTAGACGGGTCGAGAATAAGAATTCTTGAGGCAGAGGAGATCTACGGGACAACGGGATGGAAATGGAGCACCGGGGTATCGCAGAATGGCGGAAGTACCATCGCTCACGCCGTTCACCACCCTGCTATGGCACCAAGGGAGGGACGACGATTACGGCCGATTGGCACGAGATATCTAGATTAACGGCGGACAAGCCGAATCAGAAAGATAGGAACGTGACCACGTGACTGGCGAGCTAGCCAAGCTGGGTCGAAAAATTGACGTAAAAAATAACGATTAGAATAAGATAATAGTAGAAAAATCATCCCCATAAATAAGTTGATTACTTCAATTTAGATGTGGACAAAATGCTAAACGTACAATTAAAATTTAAAAATATTACCATTTTAATTTCAAAGAATAAATCTTATACACCACTTCACTCGAAAAATCAAAGGATATTTATTTAAAAAAAAAGTATGTCTCTTTGTTTAAGTTTTGCTGTTGACATTTGCAGTGAATAGTTCTATTTTATTAAAAGAAAAAGCTTCGAAAGTTTCGAAAAGTAAATAAATAAACCTTCTGAAGTTCAATTTTTTTCAAAATAAATTTAATATTAAGTTCTGTATTCAGTAAAAAGTAATCGAGTGAAATACGTGGTTCAAAGTATTTCGTGCTTCCTTCATCGTCGAACACTATACGTCTGTATACAGTGTGTTTCTGAAACGAAAACAGTTAGAATAATCGTACTAAATGGTACGGCGCAGTGACGAATTTTTTAAATTTATTTTTCTCCAAAAACCAAAATTTAACAGTTTATTCTTCAAATAATAGGTATCTCAAAACTGAGCGGCAAAAAAAATACTTATATATAATTCTCATTTGAATCGTACATCATTTTTACGATTTCAACACTCGATTTAATGAGCTGGTCTATCCTATTTCGTCGCTGACCCATTTCGCTGCATAATTCTCAAATTATTTTTGTTTTCAAGCAAGGTTCTGAATTTGTGATTTGAAAAGTGATAAATAGATACAGTGCAATATTTTTTACTCGAAACAATCTTATATAGTACTATACTATCTGAATTCTGAAGTTATCGATTGATAAATCCCCGATAATTATATAAATAAAATATAATGAATAGTGTCGTGGCGACGATAACTGACATTGTCAACGACACAGTGGAAAAAAAATAAAAATAATTTACAATAGATACGTTAAATTAGAACATTAGTTATAACAATTACTAATAATAATTACAATAACATTATTAAGTTATTTAATTAAACACAATGAATAATTTAAACTAATTTAAAAAACTTTTTTATAAAATTTTATATGCTTATTTGTTTATATGATTAAGTAATTGTATATAAATATATAATACATAAATATAATTAATTGGTATATAATTTGTTATCTAAGTTACTCAAAAAATAAATTCGACGAAATGGAAGCTAACCAATGAACCATATCGGTTTGTAAAAGGACTTGACCCTGTATGAATTAAAACAGTTTTCACATTGTTCAACAATGTATAATATTATTTACATTTTACCAATATTTAAATATTTAACTAGTGTGTACAATTTACTTATTAAGATATATTACACTATGTCTATTCAATTTCACATATAGTATTGCTACGTAAAATATTTAAAAATATAAATTAATAGATAATATAAAGAAATTTCCAAGTCGTAAATCTAAAAAAAATGTCATTAATCTCAGCTAATTATAGATACCAAATATTTTTAAGTTTATAAAATAATTAATAGAAATTTAAATAGAAACACATATTAAAATAAATAGTATAAATAAACCCTTTAAATACCAAAATTCTAAAATAATAAAATAAAAAAAACCGTAAAAAATTACAAAATTTAATTAATAAATATAATAGAGGTTAAACTCCAATTGATGAATATGCATCAACAATATTGTAGGAATTATTTATCTTAATATTATATTTTTTTAAATTGTATTTTAATATTTTAATATTTTATATCATTTATTTTAATAGTTTTTTAAATTGTATTCTATTAACTATTATACTGTATGGCTATAACGAATTAATTATAAATTAAAGATTGTAATTTTGTTCAATTAAATGTTTTATAATTTGTATTACGATAAAAAATGTAAAATGCATTTTTACATATTACTATACATCTTAAGTATTTAAATGATTTGCTTTTTATTTTTAATTTAAACATATTATATTCAATTAAACTTTTTAGAGGTGATCTGTATGACTGTAAATATCAGTTATTTAGTACTAAATTTCCAATAAACTATACGAATAATGTAAAGATAATATTCTTAACATCACATTATTCGTATTATTAGTATTATGCATACAGATCACGAAATGTAATAAGAACCAAACGATGTTTTGCATGAGATGAACGTATCTGGATATCATATAATTTTAAGGCGTTTTTACTTCAATAATTTTATGTATAATTAGAATTCGAATTGATTATCAAAGTTAACAAAAATATGGTAAAATACAAAAAGAGACTTATACACATACACACAAAAGATAAGATAAATATGTTATTCAAGGACTTTTTTTTTTCCTATAACAGGCCACAAAAATAATCCATTGTTTCCGAATGCTATTTTCGCTGCCAAGCTATGGAAATAAAAAATTATAAATATTTGTTTTAAATAAATTATCGATTTAAATAATATTGATTAAACCTTTATTCCCAATTGTCACTTTTTCATGAAAATTTTGATTTTTTTTTTTTAACAATAGCATTGGTGTACAGATTTGTATTGCTTCAAAAAAATACATTAGTTTATATTATATTTTACGATAAGAATAAGATTTTAACTACCTATTTGTTACTTGTTTTAAAAATTATTTTGATTTTTAAAATAAATTATTAAATTGCGATTTCATTCAATTGTAAAAACTAATATTTATTTTGAATACTATTATACTTTAAATTCAGAAAATGTACCTCATATTTCTAAATTATTTTCTAATGCCATATTTAATATATTGCCTTTGTAATATTCTAGAAATACAAGTATGTATTTAAATTGTTATAGCGTCGCAATATTAATATATTAACGTTTATAATTTCGGGTTCGATTTGTTTACTTTGTATTATAATTTCGATATCCATTTTGAATACAAAAAAAATCTTTAAACAGTTCAAATAATGACTGAACATCAATTAAACACAACCCATGCGGGCAGTAACAAAAATATAACAATTCAAAGCTGTAAGACCATGGTTACCGAGGATAAAAATAATTTCATTAAAAAATATTCGTTTTATTTCGCGTCCGTCTGACACAAAGCAAGAGAGATAAAAAAAAAAAAAACGCACATAAGTTGGACGTAGCTGTAACAGAGAAAATGAATAGAAAATATGTTCCGGTGGATCAGATCAAGGTGTTAGGCTTCAGCGAACATCCCGACGGTCGTGCGAACCCGTACGAGGAACACAGGAGCACCGAATACCAATCCAAGTAAATATTATGAACTGTTTACGCGATCCGCCGAAAACGATTCGGGTTAAGATATCCGTTTGCCAGGTTTACTATGTCTAGTTGTGAACATATATGCTTTTCCGAAGTTTCGGGTCAAACGTACCGAACACAATCGTCCCTGTTTTTCCGATTTTTCCGCAATTGAATCGTTCGTAACCCAGTCGAGCGTACGTATAATTTGTATTACTAGTCATGCGCTGCCTTACGCACTCAGCAATACGTTGGACCCGCGATGAACGGTCCCGCCGATTTCGATACGTATCGTAAAAGCGCTATACGCCGCGCACTACTGTCCGTGTTCCCGTTTCGATCGCTTTTCGATCTCAACCTTTGCGTTATGGCGACACACTGTTAAAACGTTTCATACTCTGCGACACACAATAAAAAAATAGAAATAATGGGTGCCGAATGTTTATAACCAATTGATATTGTAAACTTAAAAATAACAAGGAAAAATATAGCATAAAACAGCATTTAGTATTTCAATGAGAAATTTGCGACCGATATTTCTTACAAAATATTGATATACGCGGAGAAATCGTTGGCAAAGCGACTCTTAACTCCTCTTCGACGTTAATTAATCTTTCTCTATTCTTGTTTCGTTAAACGCAGAAAAAAAGCTACCAACGTTGTTGAAAACAATGGTAACATGGAAAGAGTTAATTTTGTTAAACTCGAATATTCTTTTATTGTTTATATCCAAAATCCACCTAGCTCAAGCTCACTAAACTTCATTTGAAGAGTGCAATCGTTTTTCGACTCGGCGAATTCTTCCTCTGCAAATGTAAGGTGCGTGGTTTAAGAACTAAGACTAAATCGTTTCCCCGCCCAACCAAACAATTTCAAATCTTGCTATGAAAAGTAGTAATCAAGTTTTTAGTCCAATAATGTTATTGAATCATTATAATATGATATTATTCAATCGGTATTCGAACAAGCTATTGTGTTTGTGTCTGGCCACGATAACCGGTCCCCCCCCCCCCGATAGCGTGCCGATTATGGAATGTTCGCGAACTTTCGGTCGGCGCTCTTCGTCGCGTTAGCATCACGCTCCGGGGCGACACTTGCAACCGAGCGAGCTGGTGGTGCGTATTCCCACCGGGCGTGTGACTTCTTTTCCTTTGCCGTCGTGCATGTTACCGCCGGATGTGTGACTTTTCCTTTGCCGTCGTGCGTATCACCGCCGAGCGTATTATCCCTTTTGCCGTCGTGCGTATTCCCGCCGAGCGTATCCTTTCGTTTACCGCTGTGCGTTGATTTCGTTAGCGGTGTGGTCGACGGTGGTTTTCGTCGTCACGTGTTACGTCGTCAATCGTGTTGTGGCTGCCTGTCGACGTTGCGGTCGTGTCCAGTGGCGGGAACGGAACATCACTCTCATCGTGGCCGTCGGGAGAACGAGGTTTTGCATATGATTTTGTATACATATATATGTATACACAATTTATTATATTTTTTTTTTCGTTTTATTATTATTATTATTAGCACTCGAGGGCGCCCTGCTTAAAATATATTATTGTGCCTTTTATTTTTACTTTATTATTATTATACTAACATTGGTCCGACACCGACCGTAAACTATTATTGTTTTAATTTTATTTATCAATAAGTCACTTTACATTGTGGGCATTTCAATTATCATAGTAAATGCGACCTACTTTCCGGAAGTCTCTGGGCCGGACTGTGTGATAGGTAACAATCGGTAAATTTAGTTTTAGCAGTTAAAGGAAACATATCCGAATTATTATCATTTACCCTTATTTTCCAAATCAATAATTTTTCTTTAAATGCGGCCATTTTGTCTGTAGAAATTAATACATTTTAATTTTGATTTTACACGCATAAATTTAATTGATTCAGATGTTTAAAAATATCAACTTAATATGCTAGTTTTAAATACCAAAATTCATTGCATAAATAACCGGCATATTCCATCTATTTCATTTTAAAATATACTAGTTCTTTTCTGAGTTCGTAAAAACGTGATAAATTTCATCCTTTTTATAACTAATGCACTTTTGTTTGAATACTCAAATTATAATAGTCAGATTTCACTGATTCACTATTTTACTGAGAAAATAATCGATTTTTTTAAGATCTACTTTTAATGAAATTCACCAATTTTACGACTTGATCAGGTACAATTTTTAATTCATTAAAAATACTTTTTTCAACCCTCTGCGTAAAAAAATAGTGTGGTATATTTATATTTGGATTTTGATATTTGGCAATCGTAATAAATCCTTTAATTGTGCCAGTTATTGATGTCACTCTATCCGTACAAATACTTATACAAGAAGTCCACGATATACCATAATTTTTAAAATATTTATTTATTATGTAAAAAAATATCTCGACCTGTTATTATTCCAGATAATTCTTTATGACAAAAAAATTGATTAACTATTTTTTAATTCACAATAAATCTAATGAATTCCATCAAATGACATTTTCTATTAATGTATATTGATTCATTAACTTGTTGGATAAATAATTCTCTACTTTTTATAACTTCAATATATAATACGAGTAATCTGTTTCTCAATATCCTCTGATATCTTTATAATCATAATTGCACAATAAATAATAAAAATAATATAAATTAATATAAATCATAAATAATTGCATACAACTGCATAAATACATATTATATCGCAGTGTGTTTAATTTTACAGAGCTAGGGAGGACGAAAATCACCTATAAATAAATACTACATCCAATTACACAACGATTACTAATGAGAATGGAATAGGGTATACGCGTGGTACTTGTGAACAATTAAGTGAATTAATTTATAACTTAAATACAATCGTTGCGATACATGAATAAAGTTAAACAGATGTATTTTTATAATACAGTGAAAACTGTCTAAAGCGGAATCGCATGGGACCAACAAAAAATTCCGCTTTAAGCAGTTTTTCGCTTTATTCAATAAAACGGAAAAATTCCTGATTATTCAATTCAAATAGATACCAAAGAATATTTTTTCAAATTATTGTTTAAATAATATAATTCATTAAAATTTAACTAAAATATAAGTTTTACAACTCATAAAGTTTTAAACTGGAATATAGGTTTTTATTACATATTACATACTAAGGCAATTAAATATGACGTATAAACATTTAGAATTTCCAAAAATGATGAAGAGTTTTTTTGTTTTGTCACGGTTGCTGCTATTTTTTCTTTTGTGTTATATTTTGGCATTTTAATATTTAATATGATGAACGGAAGATAAAATTTAAGGTGTACGTACGACTGTTGGTGTAAGACTGTTTCACAGTTACAAAGAAGAAAGTTCGTATTGTTTATGCGATAATATGCATTATACGTACATATAATGTACAAATATGTGTAGAACAATTTTATCTTCTTTATCTATCACTATTGTAAACGATGTACATTGTACATACGCTTATCTACATTTTTGGTTTATTATACACACGCGTGCGCCATTTTTCCGGTTTATGCAAGGTTTCTACTTGCATGGGACTTACAAAATCGTTCCGTTTCCGCGTTACGAAAGCTCCGTTTTATTGAGGTTCAGCGTCTACATAAAACTATAAAAACGTGCCGGGACCATAGAAAAATTCCTTATTGGATAGTTTTTCCTTTTATTCAGGGTCCGCTTTAGACAGTTTTCACTGTAGCACAATATGAGTTAATAAAAAGCACCAAGTGCACTCGTGTAATCGACATAATACGTGAAAACACGTAATGACACATAATAATCAATGTTTCGTGAAAAATTTATCTTAAGCGATTAATAAATTCTAACGCGAAAGTCACAAACTTGATAAAATTGTTATTGTTAATTTTTATTTTTATTTTTTTTTCAATACAAACGATAGAGCCATGTAGTTGTTTTGTAATAATAACTAACGAGAAAAATATCATGTAAGATCAATTAAGCCGTTTGAAATCCATAGATTTTGCACGTTCAAGATGAAAACTCTCGTGGACACGGAAATATCAAAGCTTGAACGGCAACGTATCGTGAAAATGATGAAGTATTTGCCAACGATCCAGAAAAGATCTTACACCAATCCGTTCGACTCTCTATATAACACCGTTGCAAAGAAAATAATGGAAAAACCGAAAAGCCACAAGGAAATTGTTCCGGAGAAGAAGGTGAAAAACATCCGAATGACCGAATATCAAGCAGTTTACGAAGGAAAGAATGTATTGTAGGATGTCTCAAAAAGAATGCAGGATTTAAATCTGCTATAAATTAAATTTATTTTTTTTTAAAAAAACAACAAATATATTATTCTTTTTACAAGTTAAGATTTAACAGTGAAAAACAGTATCGGGCATATGATCCTCCCTACTAGCCCTACAGACGATTATTCTTTCCATAAAATTTACACTCGATCACACATTGCCCCATCAAGTTCATTAAGGACACGACGAATTTCTTGCTTAAGTTCCAAGACATTTCGAACTTTGTTCTGGTAAACTTGTGACTTAATGTATCCTCATAAGAAAAAATCACACGGCAAATCGCAAGATCGGTATGGGTATAGTTCTCCGCGCAACGATATTAGTCTGTCCGGGAACTTCTCACGCAGCAGAGCGATTGTTTCTCTTGATGTATGACAAGTTGAAACCATACATTTTCGATGTTCATTTGGTCCAAACAAGACCAAAGAAAATTAATAAGCTCAGTAGGTTATTCTTGTATGGTTTCAACTAGACGGCGTAACTTGTTACACTTCAAGAGAAACAATCGCTCTGCTGCGTGAAAAGTTCCCGGACAGACTAATATCGTTGCGTGGAGACCAAAGCTACCCAAATCGATCTAGCGACTTGACGCTGTGTGATTTTTTTCTTATGAGGATATACGTTATGATAAGTCAGGAGTTTACCAGAACAAAGTTCGAAATATCTTAAAACTTAAACAAGAAATTCGTCGTGTCCTCAACGAACTTGATGGGGCAATGTGTGATCGAGTGATATTAAATTTTATGGAAAGAATAATCATCTGTAGGGCTAGTGGGAAGGGTCATATGCCCGATATTATTTTTCACAGTTAAACCTTAACTTCTCCCGAAGACAATGATATATTTGTTATGTTTGTTATATTATGTAGTAAACTGTCTATTTTTGTTTTTTAAATATAATTAATCACAGAGTAATACATAATCAATTTAAATTATTATAAGATAGTCACAAGACGCAACGTAAATAAAATAGAGCAATAATAATAGAACAATTTTTTTTCAAGGTTATAAACAATACTTAATTACTAACGAAGAATTTCTAGAAATGGTCAAATAAAACATTTACCAACAAATTTCATTGCATAGTTTTCGATAGTAAATTGTTTAATTTGTCAAGGTTTTATAATAAAAAGGTCATCTTGACATTATTTTTGTTATTACATAAATAATTATGTCAAAAAAATTCTGAATACTGTCAAACAAATAGTGTAATAGTTCAAAATAAAAGAGAAAAAGAAAAGAAAGGAATGAAGGGGGAAGGGGAATAGAAAGAGATTATATATGGGATGTGGATAGATAATGAGTTTGGATTGATTCTTCTTGTGTAACAGAGGACTTACAAGATTACAAAGGTTTGAAAGCTGAACAGTGAAATTTGGACAGTTTAGTAAGCTAGATAAAATGGCATTTATGACTACTAATGATTATTATAGGAATAGGATGAAGTTGAAATTAAGTGAAACTAATACTGGACACTTATTGACACTTGCACAGAAGACTCTAATGGTAAAGTGAAGTTAAAAGTGAAATAATCGTACGTAGTTGTATCTTGTTACAAAAAGCTCCTACGTAACATATGACCAAGAACGTGGTACTCATGCACTAATGATCTATGGTCAAGCGCCTGAGAAAAAGTTTTTATGCCAAATATTATATAGGAAAATATCGTGGAATGGATCATGAATTAGTCCTTTGAGTGTTTGACTTACTGAGTTTCAGTGGCGCCGATCCCTATATCCAAGTATGGCGACTGCCATAGTGAATTATGTGGTGGGTGAGTACTGAGTGCTGGGTAGGTGACACATAGCGTGGTACCCACAGCCCAATGTGTAAAATGTACTATGAAATTATTAAAATTATTTAATATTTAACATTATTACATAAAAGCGCATCAGTTGTGGTACGCTGATTACGTCGATACAAGCCAGAAGACCGTAATATTAACACAGATAATACGATAACGATAGTGCGATGTGGTGAAAATAAATATTATTTAATATATAAAATTAACACCTTATATCGGCTATATCATAAATAATTGATAAGTCACAAAATGAAAAAAGATATATAAATATATATATTAATATCAATTTTGAATACAATATTATGGTAGGGTTTCAGCCCCCCCCCCCTCCCACCGTTTAAACCAATTGGTAGGTGGGTAGGTACTATTAAAATTTGATAATCGCCATACTGCATTTTTTGTAGTTCAGCGCCACACTGCTGAGTTTATCAATAGTGTATGGTTGAATAAAACCTTAATAATATGAATTGTGTTTTCAGTGCGTGTATCCAAATAATCGTTATTTATCATTTCATTGCAAATACATCCTTATTACGAACTAATAAATTTTTTGCAACGAATCTGAATCTAATGAAGTAAATTTATCGACACGAGGCAGTTTTAAAATTGCATTTATTCCCATCTTAGATAAATTGCTTCATGAACTAGAAACAAGATGACACGCTAATGATATTTTCTTTAAACCATTTACATTTTTGACTTAACTTAAAGAATAGGACAATCAAGAAATTAGAAAATCAATTAAATTCCTTCGAGACATTTATACAAATTATATAGAGTTTAATGACTTTATAAATAAAGTTTTAAATTTAAAAGCTCACATCGAGTTAAATTTTATGGTGATAAAACTCAATCTGCTTGGACTTCAAAATATTTCTGTATGAAAAGACCTAACAAATATTTACTCAAACATAAAAATAGTACTATGTATGTTTACGACTACAGATCTCACCAATTACTCAGCTTAAAGATCGTTTTCATACTTAAAAATAGTAAAAAATGATTTACGTTCTATCCTGACCAAATAAAAGTTGAGTTCATTCGAATCAAAGTTTCGATATTTTCGATATTTCGTTGCCATCCCTAACCGGGAGCCCTGTCTATATAAAAGCCGATCATAGTGACTATATATACGTTAAATGGCCGTATATTTAATATTTGTTATACATTTAACTGTACAACTAGGAACTCCTTTAATAATTTATTTATTAACCCTTTTAATAAAAATAATCGCTAATCAAATACAATCATTGAATTGCAATTTTTCATTATAAAAAAGTAGTTAAAACCCATTATATTTGAAAAACCATGCCAAAATAGTGTTATGTTGTAGGATGGGTTATTATTCCCAAAAAAAATTTTGACCAAGTCAATTGTATTATTCAAGGCTCCTTCGGTAATATTTTTAATATAATTGTACTTCTAAAGAAGGTTAGTAAGTTTAGTAAGTTAGTTCAATATATATATATATATATATATATATTAATAACGATAGGTAGTACATTTATACATAGTATAAGTAATTAAAGTTAAGAACTTCCTAAAAACTATGGTTGCGAGAATCATGGGATTCAACCGATATTAAATCAATCACTTTAATGATAATTTAAAAAAAGTGTATCAAAAGTTGAGTGTACTACAAAGTCTTATAATTAATATAGACGAAACAGAAGTATAATGTCAAATAAACTCCCAACCATTTTTTCGTGTAAAGGAAAAAAAATAGTGGGAAAATCCATTGCTGTCAAAGATGGTGAATTAGTTAGGTACATCAGTTTGTTGCTTCAGTGTGAATGGTATTCATGTGTCCTCTATTTTAGTTTTCCCGAGAAAAATAATAAAATAATAGTATTCGAAAGGGATATCCCCAGAAACTTAAGAATTTTTATCTGATAGTGGTTACATAAATTCAGTGTTATTTTTAAAGCGTTTAGATCTTTTACTTCAAGTTTACGGCGCCTAAGAGGATACCGCGGAACATACCATCTTCGTGCGTCCGCAACAAAAGAGCGCATACCGCCTTCCCATAAGGCAATACATTGACGGACGGTAGGAATGACTTTTCCTAGGAACATGGAAAATATGTTATGCAGACCCCGATACATGTCGAGTAGAGAGGAGGACCCGGGTCTACACGACCATATTCTGACCACATGGTCTTGGGGTAGACAAGCATTCGTGGACATAATTGAATTTATCCTGTCCCAGAAAGAAGAGAATAAACGGGAATCGGAAAAATAGTCCGAGGAGATGGCGGACTCCGAGAGCCGGACCGTGAAAAAAGAAAAGCATCAGAACGGGTACCCAGACGGTTACCAGGTTGGCGGGCTCCAAGGGCCGGATCTTGAACTTGGAAAGGCAGCATCAAAACTGGTAGCCAGGCTGACGGGTGCAGTCAATGGTCCGTGAAGCTAGGAGACAGAACGATCCAACCGCAAATCGTAAAAATTGTAACGCGCACTCGGTCACTTTCCGAATGGCAATTTCCAATATCCAATCGCCCAGTCATCGTGTAAAGGTGTCGTTATTTTTTATTAAATAAACGATGGCGGCGGCCCCGAAACAAAGTGAAAAAGTTCTGTAGTCGTCGTCGATTCAAACAGAAAAAGAAAAGATCTTTTACCCCAAAGTACTATACGCAGGATTTAGTTTTCACAATGTTACACTTAGAAAAAAATAACTCCTTTACTTTTCTTTTTCCCTGAAAAGGCAGAGGGGCAAAATTAAGTACAGATACTAACCTCATGTTCATTAAATTCTATTCACACTAATAATTTTTAATCGACTAAAATAAAAAAACCTAAAATTTAGAATTTCACTATCTTTTTATAATTGTAATTATTATTTTTGCTCAAAATATCTAAAAAAAAGGGAATATGGCAATATAATAACTACATTAAACCTGTACAATTAATTCAAAGTTATTCGATGATGAGTTATTATTTTAGTTTATCTTAATAGTAAAAATGTTCCAATTGAGAAAACATAAATATAATGAAATAATTGTTAAAGCTAAGAATAATAAAATAACAGAACTGTATTTAACAAGTTAATTACTATTATAAGCAAACTTTTGTTTAATAAGTATAACTGAAACATTCAATTTTTTTTCAAGCTATATTAAATTTATTTCTATAGATTATATTCAATTAAGGATTACTAAAGTCAACAAAATCTTTGATTGAATTGTAACTTATTATATACTTATAGCTTAGAGATATATTCCATAAAGTGTATTTTTTATTATTTGATGTAGTTATATTACAAAAAAAGACATATATGATATTAAAAATAAACTTTATTCTTAACAATTTTGAGTTTATCAAATATGAGATTGTTAAATAAAATATAATATTTCATATTAAGAACAAAAATAATTTATAATTTGATAAATATTAACTATGGGATAAGTCCTTCAGACCAAAATAAAAAAAGGATAATATAATGAAAATAAAAACCAAGTGGAATAACAAAAATAAAATAGAACCATGATGGTCTTTTATTAATTATGATTTGTATTCATAACTAATTATATAAAATATTATTACCAGTTCACCTTCCATAGCACTTGCTTAAGATTTTAAAATCAATTTTTGTCTACAAAGCAGTTGCGTCTGGATGTCTTTCCACAATCATGCCAACTCCCTAAAACAAAGTATATAAGTTATATAAGATTACCACAATCAATAAATAACTATAGAGATTTAGAAGTAAACAAAAAACTATGAGCTTGTATTATTAATAATAACTGACTAACTTAACTGATTTGTTCATATTGTTTTTAGAATACTAAAACAATTTGTACTGTATATATATTTTTTTTTTTTTTTTTAAGTGGCTTATAAATGTATAACACTGCCTACACTAGTATTAATTCCAGTATAAATATAGTATACTTCATAAAAAAGAGAACTGTTTAGATTAGATGTTAAATGGTCAATTTGCCAAAAAAAAAAAACTTTCAATTCAATTTTTTGTCTATTAACCCATTTAATATTTTAATTTATAGTTGAATTATAGATTCTGTTTACCTATTATAAAATTTAAATAATCTACTTGTGTTATTACAGGAAATTATATTTTATATTATTAATGTATATCTATATTAACAGTCCTATATTTAAAATTTATTTTTAAATTAATTATCCAAAAAATGATTAATTGATTAGTAAATAAAATTTTATAAATATTATGATTATAACACGTAGTATATTTAAAACTAAATGATGATAAATCAAATTGTAAAAATAAAAAGTAATTTTATTATATTGTGAATTTGATTATTAAGTAACTTAATTATTTCTTTATACTTTATGTAAATCTATAAATGTCTACTATATATCATATGAAATAACATAATTCCAAAAAAAAAAACCAAATTTACCTGTCCACCAGCAGCACAAGCAGCAATCAAACCAAACTGACCATCTTCTCTGACTAATCTATTGGCAGTATGAACAGTCAAACGTACACCTAAAAATGTTAATAACAGTTAAGAATCAATAAATTAAACAAATCATTAACATTAATACAAAATAGAAAAACAGCTTACCGGTAGCAGCAAAAGGATGTCCAATACTTAATGAACCTCCCCATTTGTTCCATTTAGACAAGTCAGGTACTCCAACTTTGCTTTGTCTATTCATGTATTTTTGTGCAAACCAATCACTATCCATTGCTTTAAGATTTGCTAAAATTTGTCCCTGAATTTTATCAAAAGATAAGAATAAATAGCAATTTATACTACCCATAAAATAAAGAAAAATTGTAAGCAAAACTTACAGAAAAAGCTTCATGGACTTCCCAAACATCAATGTCTTTAACACTCAGACCAGCTTTTTCCAATACTTTAGGTGTAGCATATGTTGGCCCAAGCAATAATTGATCAATGGGATCCTGAGCCACGTACGTAAAATCTCTAAGATAAAGTTTAGGTTTAAGACCTAATTGCTTTGCTTTTTCTTCCGTCATTATAAGACAAGCAGATGCACCATCAGTCTAATAAAATGTACACTAAAAATTATAAATCTTGATAGTTAACTAAACATAATGTTTTTAAACTTACTAAAAATGATGAATTTGCAGCAGTAACTGTACCATGAGGTTTTACAAAAGCCGGTTTCAATTTGGAAATTTTTTCAATTGGAGATACTCTGATACCATTGTCTTTTTCAATTACTTTTGATGTATTTGGCACTAAATGTCATAAATAATTTTAAATAAATATAATTGTATGCACAAGTATCAAAATAACATTAAGCTTACTCCTAAACGGTATAATATCAGTTAAGTATCCTTTTTCTTGTGCTTCCTGTGCCATCGTGTGTGACCTAACAGCATATTGATCTTGTTCTTCTCGAGAAACTTTGAATGAAGCAGCTAATCTATCAGCTGAGAAACCCATGGTCTCTCCAGAACTAAATTCAGCAACAGCAGGCAACTAGAAATGCAAAATATTAAGTATTAATTTAAAAGCAAGATGATTTATAAAATACCTCAGGAAGTAAAAAGTTTGGTCTGAATGTTGAAAGAAGTTTCAATTTATCCATTAGCGATTTAGCTTTGTTTGCTCTTAAAAGTAAACTTCTCATCTTACGAGAGTGTCTAATTGGAACATCAGACATAAATTCAACACCACCAGCAACAATCACATCATATGCACCAGCAGCAATCAGTCCAATACCAGTCGTAATACCTTGATTTGAACTGATACATGCCATTGTAACAGTATGAGCAGGTACAGAGTATGGAAATCCAGCAGAAAGCGCAGCTTCCCGTCCAATATTGCTAGTTTTTACTTCTTGAATTACTGTACCATAAACAATATATTCAACTACTTCCCGAGGTATTTTTGTCTTCCTCATTAAGCCACTAATTTAAAACAAAATTTACAAATCAAAAAATTATTATTCATGCAATACATTTAAATTTGAAACATACTCTTTAATTAATATTTATATTTCAAGAAAAATTAAAAAAAAAAATAGAAACTTACTACAGTTTCAAATAGTATACAACAGTATATGTTTTAAATTTATAACTGAAGTTATTAATTAGCCAGATGACTGAAGTATGAAATGTATTAAATTTTCTGTTTGAATAGGTCTAAATTAATGAATAATATATATATATATATATATATATTATTTGGTTCTTATTCATCCAAATAAACGAATAATTGATAAATAAATGTTAATATTAATAATATTATATATATATACATAATGAATTAAGATACTTCCAAATATTTCTTGTGTGAAGATGGTATGCCAAAAATTCTATACCCTCAGTATTTGTAAATTAAAAGGAAAATTGTTACATTTTACTTCCCAAATTTATGGAACAGTGTGGTGCAGAGGTCATAAAGCTAACAACGACATGTGCAGTTATCAGTTTGAACCCAATTTAATACAAAAACATCCTGGAGAATTGATTCTGTAATATCTCTCCCTTGACATTGTTCTGGTTGTTTTACACCTTTACACTCCTGGGAGTGAAGTTCACTGAGTGATGATTCTCTACTTATAGAAAGGGGTATAAGTGCTACAATGCACTTTATTTTTCCTTAGTGAAAAGTACATCAGACGGTTATTTCGATAGAAAAAAAATAAATACATTTTTCCAAATAATAATTTGGCAAATCATTTTGCTTTAATTAACACTTGACCAAATGTATTGTTTTATTTGTGAATTTATTATTAATTCACTTAATAAATAGAATAAACACAATATTTACATAATGGACCAATGAATATTATATGATAACTTTGAAAACTTTTTACCAGAATTAAATTTTTTTTAAAGTTAAATAATATTTGTATCTTATGGGTATGATTATTATAGTATTCTAAAATATATTCATCTTATGTACCAATGGACAAATTAAACTGGTAGAGCTTTAGGTTAGGACATTTATAAATGTTTTAACTAAACATTAGTGCTAACAGAAAAAAAGAACATTCTTATTTGAAATCAATGAATTTCTATTTTAGCTCATACATATAAAAAAAATTACAAATAATTATTACTAATTTATGTTTCATAATAATTCTTACTATTGTAAATTAAATTAACTAGTAATTTCCAATCTACACATTATTTCATAAATAAAATATGAAACCAGTTAGAATGATAATTAGGTTAATCTAACATTTCAAACATTTCTTATCTTCACTACTTTTACTTAAAGCAAAAAAAAAAAAATCAAAGAAAATATCATAAAATTTTAGATATTCCAAGAATTTAAAAATTGAATCCTTTTATATCTGTAGATAATATACATTTGAAATAAATTCTAAAAAACAAGGAATACAATATCAATCAAAATTAAAGATTTATATAAAATGTATATACATTTTACTATCAATAATTGAATAACAACATTTATTTCATCATTGATACACTTTTAAACAAAATACATATTTTACTTTCAAACCCAATCCATGACTACTATTATAAAAATATTAAAAGTATTTCTTTATTTATTTCAGTCAGTTATTTTACTTTAAAATTATTAAACTTAGATGTTTAATAAACTCAAATTCATTAAATTATTAAATTTGATTATTACTTATATTAAAACATTAGGTCATAATAAATAGCTTTAAGCTTTAAGTATAACAAAAATAAAGGATGCCAATAATAAAGTTAGTTACTCAACATAACACCTTGACCTTCATTAAATATACTTCCTGATACATAATATTATCTTAAAACCATGATAATGATAAAAAGTTATCTTTAGGTATATGAAAAAAAATATATAAATATCTAGATTTTAAATCTCTAATAAATGATACATTTAAATATAAATAGATACTTAAAATTCATATATGTACAGTACTTAAATGAAACTTTAGTAAATCAAAATTATCTAATGTATTCTGGTTATTAAAAAAAAAAATAAAATACAACATTTAACAAATACTTTTACTTATTGATTTAAAATGGTGTTTAAAATTCATCTACATTTTAATATGCATAGGATCTAAAACAGTTAAAAAGAACTACCTAGTTAACCACTATTTGAATGAAAAGTTTAAACTGAAATTAAATATTTTTATCAGACTTTCCACTGTAGTTGGATTTAAAACATTGTAATGATTTTTTAATTTTAAATAAATCAAACCAACTTACATGAGAGCTTCTTTGGCTAATTCATGTGGCATCAAAGGGGCATAGTCCGTTCCTGATAATAAGAACGGAGTACGCACTCCATCTACAAACACTATATTCTTGCCAGTCTTGTCTTTCATACGAGGTGATGCAGTCGACAGACATCTGATCGGCACTGCAACGTAATAATTGTGAAAAATTAAGTACCCACAAGAGTTTGCATTATATACTTTCAAAAAATTATTATTACAATTATTGTTATAGTATTATTACAATACACGGTACTCACGGCAAACATTGTGTGACACAGATACCCTGGTGTCCAATTTAATAAGGTGTTTCAATAGATTCGATGCCATTGTGGATTATAGTATAGGTCTTGACGTTGCAGTACGCACCGTTGAACAAACGTCGACCTGATTCGATACGATCTAACTGAACGCGGAAATAGTGTTTCGTGTCAGAGAGAAAACAAAGGTCACGAAATCTTGAATTTTTCCCCGAGAAGAGATAATGAATATTATTTTTTTTTATTACGCTGTTATCGTCGTCCGACGCTGCTATCACACGCTTTATCACACATGAAGAAACCAGTTCACAACAGTTGCTGATAAGATGATTGCAATGTAATACTATATTATTGTGTACGAGGCAGATTATTTTAATATTATTAATTTTTATTAATCGTTATTATAAACGATTAAAATTATTAATCCATCTTGACTGTACATAAATGTGTATGTATTTATGATATGTTTGCAAAAATGGAAAAAAATATAAGCACAACATGAACACTATTATTCTCGGCACGTTGTCAATAGACGCCCGAAGCGATTATGCTTCAATATCGATTCCCGGTGTGTTTCGCTGCACAATAAAAATGACATTTTCGCTGCCCAATGCACCTGTACACAACTTACCGCGTACGTCCTTTGCGACCGTTGAATAACAGCTTAACCCGTGGTAATCACGAATACCCGGTATACGGTGTCCGTATGACTTGATTGATAACGTTGGTAAATTTATTGATCGGAAATATTAGTAGACTGTAATTTCTATTTGTTTTTCCTTATTCAAAATTCTATTTTGTCACTTAGAATTCATCCGGTGGTATAAATGTTATGAATGTTCCATCGACGTTTAGTGGGCAAGTGTTTCATCAACCGAACACAGTGGCGTAATAAGTAAGTTAATTAGCCGCTGTCGGACCGACTGTCCAATTAGTGTTATTGTCAACAATATGCCTAAAATTTTTTTTCGATATTATTACGCAATTTATTTTTACTTGTAAATAATAACAATTTCATGTTTCCACTCGTGGTTATATAAAAAACTATCACCGTTGTCGTTTCGTGTCATTGTGTATGTGAATAATTGAATTAAAAACGTTAGGGAATTTTATTTTTCATCACTAATATTAATTATTTTTACTTGGGTAGGTTTGTACAAGGTATTTTGTAGTTTTTCATCGAGAATCTAATTATTTATTTGTGTAAGTTATTAATTATCATTACATTCAGGAATCTTACATATTATTTGATATACTATATATATATATATAAATGTATAATTTATTATATCCATTAAAAACAAACATAAAATAAAATCTTAATCAGTTTTTGACATTAATAAATTAATTAATTTATATCTAGGAACTCTTCAAAACCTATTGTTTTTCTCTATTATTATATATTATCATGTTTAACTTGTATTTAACATCATTAAAGTAAGTAAAAACACAATTTTCATTTTGACTTTCAAATACAATTTCTTTTCTAAAAATAATTGTTGGAAATTTAATTGTTACTATCTAGTTAAATAATATTAGAACTATGAAATTTAAATGAAACATATAAAATTAATTTTACAAAATATTTATGGAGTATCACTAATTACAATATAAATAATTTAAATATATATTATTAAATATAATAAGTTAAAATTAATTTGTTCGAAATATACTTATTAAAATAAATAACTAACCACTGTTTTGAAAATCCATTATTATTAATTGTCATCATATTATGCTATCTTAAATCAGGGAATTCAGTTTAAAAAAAAAAAAACATATTTCATTCCAGTACCTTAATTTTTAATCATATTTAATTTAAATTTAAATTTTTTTTTAAAAATAAGTGTAAGATGATCTAATAATTATAGATTAAATGATTTATAATAATATTTAATTTATGTAAAAATTTTAGTTTTTAAATAACATTTTAAACTTTTAGTACTTTATTTCCTTCTTGTTGTATAAATTCATATACCATCAATCCTGCAACCCATTTTTTATTTTATATAAATCAATTGAAATTAAATTAAAATTAAAAAAATAGTTCTTCCTAAATGAAAACATATTATAAAATAATTATTATATAAAAAATGTATTTAACATTTATGATTTAATTTAAGATGTTTTCTTAATACATATTCCAATATTCCAAAAAAATTAATTACTGTCAACAAGTTATTAGCAATGAATTTATAGTGGTATTTATGATTTCTTTCTTACACAATCAATAACACTACAATCATTACTTAAATTAAAAATATATTGTATTAAATACAATGTTTATATTATTTAAATAATATCTAATAGGTATTTATTCTTAATTAGTTATAGAATCATATTTATAATATAATTATTCTAATGCTTAAATAAATGTCATTACATTCAATAATTAATTTCTTATTCAGGAAATTTTTTATTGTGTACATCTAAATATCTACTGAAATAAAAATAATTTTTCTTGTATCAAGTAAAATAAAAAAAAATTGTATTTATAGTTATTTCATTGTAGGACTGATGATAAATTTTAATCAAATATCTGTTAGTTTTTTTATTTAAAATAAAAATGTATAATTAAAGTTTACAAAAAAATGTTTCCATTTATAATCATTTTCAATATATTATTAACTATACATTTATTAATAATGTTATTCACTACATATTTGTTACATATTAGATTCATAAATTAATTTCCCATCTGCTCTTGCAAGATGGATGATATGGACGACCCTACTCAGGGAGCGGACATATGCAGGGTATGCCGATCGGAGGGCAGTCCAGAACGACCATTGTTTCATCCTTGCATATGCACTGGCAGTATAAAGTACATTCATCAGGAATGCTTGGTACAGTGGATGCGTTACAGCCGAAAAGAATATTGTGAACTTTGTAGTTATCGATTTTCATTTACTCCAATCTATGCCCCCGATATGCCTCGACGATTACCTATTAAGGATGTTGCAGCTGGTATTACCTCCAGTATTTTAACTGGTGTTAAATATTGGCTACATTTCACTTTGGTGGGATTGGCATGGCTCTGTGTTGTACCTTTTACAGCATGTCGAATTTACCGAAGTCTATTCAATGGTTCTTTTGATGCTGTATGTGATAAATTTATTAAATATATTTGTTTTTTATTTTATTGGATATATTTTAAAAATAAAATATAGGTGATATCTTTACCCCTTGATATGTGGTCATCGAAGAATATTTCTGGCGATATATTTCATGGCAGTTTCGTTGTGACTTGCACATTATTTGCATTTATTGGATTAATATGGCTAAGAGAACAAATATTGCATGGTGGTGGTCCTGATTGGTTGGAAAGAGATGAACCAGTTCCTCCCGTAGTAATCAACAATCAAAATGATCAACAACCACAAGCTGGTAACGTACTATTACCTCAAGTTCCTGATGATCATATTGTTGAAGAGGTTAGAAGTATGTTTTAGTTTATATTGATAGTATGATAAAAACAGTATTATTAATAGGTTGATGGAGAAATTCGCCAAGAAAATGGAAATCAAGTAGATGAAGGCCATTGGAATCCAATAGACTGGGGTGATCGAGCAGCAGAAGATTTGACTTGGGAACGACTTCTAGGATTAGATGGGTCATTGGTATTTTTGGAACATGTGTTTTGGGTAGTATCCATGAATGCATTATTCATATTGGTGTTTGCATTCTGTCCTTATCAAATGGGTAATCTGGCAATAACTGCTATGGCGTTACAAGATAAAGTAGCTGCATCACATTTTGAAGGTTTAGTGACTACACTTTGTGGTTATTGTCTCATTGGTATGTGTCTGTTGATTATGCACACATTCGCAACTATTATTGGGTTCAGACGTTCCAAACGTATAATTGGACTTAGTTATATTGTTGTAAAAGTAAGGATATTTTATTACTCATTAAATAATAATTATGGTTTAATGATTTCATGTAATATAAATTGTATTAGGTATCTTTACTCTCTGTCGTTGAGATTGGTGTATTACCTTTGGTGTGTGGTTGGTGGTTGGACATATGTTCATTATCAATGTTTGATACAAGTTTTAAAGACAGACTGGCCAGTTTCCGTTTAGCTCCTGGTACATCCATGTTCATCCATTGGCTAGTTGGTATGGTATATGTATATTATTTTGCATCGTTTGTACTACTCCTGCGAGAAGTTGTCCGACCAGGGGTGCTATGGTTTTTACGAAATCTTAATGATCCAGATTTTAGTCCTATACAAGTAATATAAATATTTGCTTGTATACTTTTTAATGGTTAGTGCTTAAATATTAAATTTTTTTTTAGGAACTAATACAACAAGGTATGCTACAACATGGAAGAAGGTTAATTGCATCAGCAATGATATTTGGCACAGCTGTTTTCCTTGTTGTTTGGTTACCAATACGAATTGTTAAATTTGTATGGCCTACATTTTTGCCATATAATGTAACATTGCACAGCGATTCTGTCAACGAATTATCTATGGAGCTATTACTTCTCCAGGTTGTATTACCAGCATTACTGGAGCAAACACACACCCGTAATTGGTTGAAAATGTGTATACGTATTTGGTGTGAAGTTGTCTCATATTTACTTGGAATTAAATCATATTTACTTGGAGACGGAGAAGAACCAGCTCCTGTTGTTGCTCCTATACATCCACCAGCAGCAGATTTAGGAGCTGCTCATGAGGGGCTGTTAAGACGTGGTGGACCTGTGGGTTTCCGCCCTTACTCTAGACCCACCAATTTTGCAATACGACTAATTGCTTTACTTATTCTGGTAGCAGTATCAGTGGTTGTAACCAGCTTATCGGTTATAACAGTACCTGTATTTTTGGGTCGTGTGGTCATGTCATTCTGGCCGGCATTGTTACAAACTAACCCGGAACATTCTGAATTACCAAACATACACGAACTATATACTGCAGCATGTGGCACATATATATGTTGGTTATCGGTGCGAGCTGTTTGCTTTGTAGTGGGATGGCTACCTGAAGGACGTACTGTTGTTATTAATCGATTAAAGTTCTGGCTCAAAATTGGATCCAAAGCAATGGTTGCATTTATCGTATTACTTGGTATAATTCCTTTTTTGTTTGGTCTACTCCTAGAGCTTGTCATGGTGGTACCATTCAGAGTGCCTTTGCATCAGACTCCTGTCCTATGGGCATGGCAAGATTGGGCCTTAGGTGTCCTGTACATGAAAATAGCGTGTGCCATCACTCTAATGGGACCGGATTGGTCTCTTAGACGAGCCATAGAACGTACCTATAGAGATGGATTTATGCGTTTGGACCTTAAGTTAATGATGCAAGATCTAGCTTTACCTGTGATTGCTGTCCTCAGTTTGTTTTTAGCTGTACCATATGCAATAGCCTACTCGATGGTACCGTTAGTTGTAAAAACTCACACAACTAGACTCCTGATTGCCAGACGAATATACCCAACACTTATGCTCATGATGATCATTGTTAAAGGAATGATGATGCAGGTGCGCCAATTCAAAAGGCTTTATGAACATATTAAAAATGACAAATATTTAGTGGGTAGAAGACTTGTAAATTATAACCATTCAAGTTCGGTTATGGGTCAAAATTAGTAAACTAATACATTTGGTGGATTGTTTTATTTCTTTATTATTATTTGTATAAAATGTTGTGTAAAATATTTGTTTTTTTTTTTTTAACTTTTCAATATATTTATACAATATATTAATATGATAATTATTGATTAATATATATATATATGTTATTATATTACTTATATCAAGTTATATATATACTCTGAAATAACCTATGATATTTAAAATGTTATTTAACTTAAGAAAATAAAATATATATTATAAACTCTGTACCCCTATTGTAAAACATTTGTTAATATAATGCGTACATAAATTTTTGCCAGTTAAACTTGGGTGATCTACATCCAATGAAAATATAGATAGTGCTAATTGACAGAAAACTATTGAACAACAAATTGTTGAGTCTGAAGTATTAATGTATATTATGTATATTATTAAAATACACATGGTAAAGGTTTCATACATAAAAAAAAAAAAAAAAACGATAATAATTAATATTTATACAATTAAAACTAGACGTCAAATCACAGTTTAAGAAAAAAAGTCTTAATTGTTTTGAATTAAAACAGCTCTCAGCTGTAAATCGCTTTCTATTTTCGTCAGCTTCAATTTTACTTTGGTGAAGACCTGTAATGTCTGTTTGATATTGTTTTCATCATCCCAAAAAATTGTTAATGTAGGTTTTTTTTCAACTAAAGTGTATTTACTAGATTTATGTTGTAAATCTCGATTTAGTGGACTCTATTAGAGAAAAAAGGTATGTAATGGCAAGATCAAAGATTAGTTTAAGATTGCGTAGAGAAAAACTTACGATGTTCACATAAACTTTAACGTTAATGTTCATTGAAAGGACTATTGCTTCGAAATAGTTTTCTTTGACTTCCGCCACAGATGCATATTCTTCAAGACCTCCAAGTTTACCAATTAGGTATGCAGCATACATGTCTGCACTAGCTTCCGATACTTTTTTCGCATTATTTTTTTTGTCGTTGCTGTTAATAGCTATCCTAAATTCAAAATTTTTAATAATTTATAACTTCTGTTAAAAATACAGTTTACTCCAAACTCCTTACTTATGGATGACCTCTGGATCTTCATACGGTTTAAATGGTTTGTTTGTTATACATGAAATAAGCATACGGTGTACTACTATGTCAGGATATCTACGAATAGGCGAAGTAAAGTGTGTATAATACTTAACATTTAACGCAAAATGGGACATATTTTTTTCCGGATCAATAACACAGTACTCGGCACGCTACAAAATCATAAAAATATACACAATGAAATTTTTGAAATCTTATGCTATGTTAACACACTATGATGGGTAATTAAGTAAATTAAAAAATGTACTATTATTTATACTTACAACCATTGGTTTTGAAAGAATGTTGTTGATAATAATGTCCCGAAGAAAATCGTCAGGTTTTCCTCCTTGAGTATAAAGAGCTTTAGATTTTTGAATGGATCCTGCAGAGGTGAAATCTATATTAATGTCATAAACTTTCAAGGATTTTGCAATTTTTTCTATTTGAACTGAATCAGGCGGTTGATGATTCCTGAGCAGTGCAGTTTTTGGGAAAACTGTCCTCAAATGATCAGCGACCAGCATATTAGCCAAAAGCATAAATTCTTCTATTAACCTATGATATTGAATGAAAATGACAAGATTTGAAAAATTAATAAAAAAAAAAAAAAATTAACTACCAACTGACCAATTACTCTCATGAAGTGTATATAACGAATATGACAATGGTTCACATGTTTCTCTGTCAATTTCAAATGATAACTTGGGCTGATTAATAGCTAGAGCACCAGAGTCAAAACGTTTCTTTCGCAACACGACTGCGAGTTTATGCAAATTACATACAACCTTAGCACAATCATCAATTGTAAATCCATTATAAACAGTAGGAAAATCGGAAGCTTCCCAATTTTTCTTGTCCTGATTTTCCAGGAATGTCTGTCAAGATAATTACTTTAAATATAAATACTGATCTGTTGATGAAAAATTAACAAATTAAAAATAAGCACCTGTGCGTGTGAATAATGGAGTTGAGCACAAGAATGTATTATGGACTGGTAAAAAGTCCGGTTAATCACAATACCATCTTGTGTAATTTCCAAAATAACTGAAACGGCGAGTTTATCGGTACCAGGTAATAATGAAGCCATCATTGTTAAAGCCGGAGGTAACATATGATACACCTGATATAGTTTGAAATACAATTTTGAATAAACAACATAAGTATAAAATTAATACATTTCAAAACTTACTCTTTGTACTAAGTAAACACTTGTTGCCAGTTTCTCTGCAATTTTATCTAATGGAGTACCATACTTAACGAAATGAGACACATCTGATATGTGAATGCCAACTTCATAAGTGCCGCCTGGTAGCAATATGCAAGAAAGTGCATCGTCCAAATCTTTGGCAGTAGGTGGATCAATAGAGAAAATACAATGTTTTCTATAAACAAAAAAGGAATTATTTCCAGAAATATAGATAATACTCAATTAATTAAGGAAAAAATACAACACCTGAAATCTTTTCTGTACTTAAGTTCATTTTCTAAAGTAAATGGAGGAGGAAAATATTGTTCTATATCTTTTGGGTACGGATCTTCTGATATATTGTGTGTCATTAATAGACCTCGAGTTTCTGCATTTATATCCCCAGAATCACCTAAAACTCCTTTTAATGTCCTAAAAAACACAGTTAGTACTATTATTTTAAATTTAACATAATAATAAGGGCTGAGATTTTGATGCAAATGCATCTTTTTTTCTGATATCCCAACACATAGATACGTAAGAAAAAAATTTGTTACAAGTAATGCTGATTAATTTAATGAAGTTTTTGTTTTATATTTTTTGAAAAATTTTACTTTATATGCATTCTTAGGGCATATGATGCTGTTTTAGGGAATTTTTCAAATTTTTAGAGCATTTTTCAGAATTTATCAATCATTTTTTAAATACTATGATTTTTGATTATAGGTTTCAGCATTTGTTCACTCAAAACTTGCATATTTAGTACATAATCTACTAAATTGATAAACTAATAAATACGATTATATTGACCTATAACTCTACAGCAGCGGTTCTCAAACTTTTTTTTTCGCGTATCACTTGAGAATATTATTATCAATCAGTCACGTAACATTAATGATTAAAAATAGAACCATACAAACTTCACATGGTTAAATACATTTATTTAAATTAATAAATGAGTTAAATATTGAATTTTTAATTTCCTCTCTACCACCATCCAACCTTTCGCGTACCACAGTTTGAGAACCGCTGCTCTACAGCATGTACCTATTTTATCAAAAATAGAAGAATATGAATATAGTTGAAAGAAATTTTTCTATTTTCAAAAGTCCAAAGACAATCATTACAACAAGTTATAAAATAAATTAAATTTAAATAAAATGTAAATGTTAAACAAATAACTATCTATTTAGTTATTTTTATATTAAATAAATATAATGAAATATCTTTGGTAACATGATTCTTCTTATATTATTTTTTAAACTACAATAAATAACTTTTTTTCTTATTTTTATAATGCATCATCTACGATTTTTAAAGTATTTTTTTTTTTTTGCTTTTTTAGAGCATTAAAATCCTAGCCCTAATAATAATAAATATACATACCCATAAGGATTCTTGAATTTGTACCAAATATCACTTGACATAGTAGCGTAATAAATTTGTTTAGATACACTAGATACACCAGTACCTGGCTTCCAACATATCTTTTCTTTCCAATCCCGAATTGATACGGTAATTCTAGGTAATCGTGGATCCTTAGAATACAAATGGCACTCTTTAGTAAAAAAGCTTTTTGGTTCAGACACCAGGAACCCTACAATAACAATGTTTTCTCTCCTTTTTATAACCTCACACACTTTGCCAGTTCGTTGACAATCTTCAGTATCCGGATTCTATCATAAATGTATTATTTTTTTATTATATTGTCATAGGTATTAAACATTAAATAAATCAACTATAATAATTTTAAATTTTAAAAATCATACCCTCCATTCAGATTTGTCTAATATTTGTACAACAACTAAATCGCCATCCAACGCTCTACGTTTTGCTATATTGCCAGAAATCAAAATATCTTTAGTTTTGTCCTACAAATCATGATAGTACAATAAGAGGTTAATATGAACATTATTAAGGTGTATTCTTACTGGTGAAGTAACATATGCTTCATGAAAATTTTTAGGATTAATACGTATAATTGCTTCTAAATATTCTTTATCTCTATTTTTAGCTTTTATATTTTCAAGATACGATTGATTAGTTGAAGATGAAACTGACCTAAATAACAATTAAATTAAATTATTAATAATATATTTTTTTAATTATTTTACATACGGTTGATTTGGACTTCTTTTACCATCAAATGGTAATAATTTATGGTTTTGTCCTTTTTTCTGTCTTTGTCTTCTTGTTCGTATACTGGATTCACTATCTGGCAAACCTTCACCATTTCCATCTGTACTCGATAATCTATTATTTTGCAAATTCATAGAGTTTAAAATACCTGATAACTTATTTAGATCACTAAAAAAATAAAAATAAAAACATTCATTGATTGATAAAATATTTTTAACATTATTGTACGAATTTAGATATTGACACGCTTGCTTAAGTTTTTATCATTGTCATAAATGTTAAATTATTATTATCTCACTTCAAATGAATCATATTTAAAAAGAAAAACCAAATATGACTCGTTTAAAATTAACACATTTGTACACTTAGGGCAATAAGAACTTACAAGACAATGCATAAAAAGAGGTAATAATAAAAACTATTGCAAACGGTTTGTATAAATCTAGCAGGTAATAATACTTTGGATTTCCGTGGAGATATTTCATAACAGATTTCGGACATGGAAACGCAACTCTACTGCTGGGATCGTTGAAATTGGTATTTTCCAGCACTCGCGAGAGACTTTCCAAATTATCCATTGTGAAAATAAATCGAAATTGAACAAGTTATCAGGAAATCTGTTTAAAACTAGTGACACGGCGGTGATGAAGAGACGAACCCACTGACATGGTATGTTGTTGAAGTGGCACTTTCAGTGACGGGTCCGGATTAATGACATTATTATATAAATTGTAAGAACAAACTACATTTCTCTTATGGCCACTTATCACGGTAGTCAGAGATAGTCAGTTTCCGGTTATCAGACAACGACAACGACGGTTGGACTGGTGTGATCAACGACCACGGTTCTGTGCGAAACAATTAAAGCTCTGTTAGATCACATAGATAGGTTGGTTCCGTCGAGTAGTAACGTTTCGAGTTCGACTTCAACAGTTATTTCATGAAAACCACACAAACACCAGTAGAACTTTAAAAATAATTCATTAATTTGTAAATGACGAAGTAATTGGAAATAATAATTATCAGTTTAGTTATACTGACTGGACGACTATTGTATCACTGATCGAAAACCGTCTACAGGCGTTGGCTACGGCAATTTCCGATTGAAGAATGCTACTCAGCATTATACATTATAAAACCACACAAATGGTTCGTAGCAGACCTGATACTGGCTTAAATGGTGTTTACCAAATAGTCTTACATTGAAAACTTGTTTGAAGCATTAAAAGAACTAGGACTACATCTTGGAACTAGGTAAAATCGAGTCATAATATTGAATATTCAAAGGAAAATAAGGAAGTTTGTTTAACCACGAACATTTTCAGACGGGGCGTAGCAGATGTTTTAATATCTTTTACTGCAAAACTTATTTTAAAAATTAAGACTACAATTAAATTACGCAATTATATACATAATATTTTTTACTTCCTAAATACTAGTAAATACTAGTTATAAATTATAACTTATGATCATTTACAAACGCTTATAAACATCGAAACGTAAATGTACGAAATAATATTATTTGTGGCCTTTATCACAGACTATATAAATATATTGTATTATATAAGAGATTAATATTAACTATATAATAGACTATATGATTATATTCATATAATCTGTGCCTTTACTGAACTCCTTATAAACTACCATATCTCAAAAACCCCATTTGTTCATTCGTTATACTTCATGGTTTTGATTTTATGACACTTGGAAAAATATGTAGGCTTGGTTTTATATTAAATCTTATACTTTTACTGGCATGTTTTTAGTCAGGCTATTGATGAATCACTCATAATCTAACAATGATAATAATTGACTATTTTATTCAAATATTATTTTTAAGAGCTAAAATATCTCTTATCATTGTATATAAATATATTTATTTATAATATTTCCATTTAATCTATGTATAGATTAATTCCGTGTGATAGCCAGTTCTATTTCTTGTAAATAACAGTTTGAACGTTTGAACTCGATAAATTTGAACAAACGTCGAAGGTTTAATCGTTAATATCCTAATAGGCAAAGGTGAGCATTAACTAGTTAAAAAATTAATTTTTTTTTAACTTTTTAACTTAATTAGCTAGTTTATTTTCTAATATACTTATTAACTTAACTAGTTTCATTTTCAGTTGAAATAACTTAGCTATTCACAGTTGATTTAAAAATGATCTATAAACGAAAAATTTCAATATTTTTTAACTTGATAAATAATTTTTAAATATTAATATAAAAATTTAATAATCAAGCAAAGTAAAATGGTCGTATATACTGTATATCAGATGCATAGGCAGACATTTGGTTGAATTTTTTTTTTGGGGGGGGGAGCTATAATAATTCAATGTAAAATAATCCGCAGGAGCTTCGCCCCCACACCCCCTTCCCATGCACAAGTAAAACTTATTACTAGGGCTAGGATTTATATGCATTTGCATGTTCTTTTCCTAAAGTCCAAATTGATTGTTTGTCAGATTTGTCCACGATTTTGCTTACTCTCGTTTAAATAAAATCAATTTTTTTTGCATGTTTTTGCATATTTTAAACACAATACATATATTGCATATTTATAAATATTTGAGTTTTTTTTAACTTAAATTTTTATAAATTATTGTTAATTTTAAATGGCGTTTATTTCATAATACCGATAGTTTTTGGTTTATCCGTCAAATTGTAAATATATAGCATAAATATTACTTATCTAATCTTATCTTGGTCGGACGACCGATAGGATTACCTACACATTATTTAACCACGTATTTAATTTCATTAGTACGACGTGTGTTGCGTAAATGTGCGGACACTTATACTTAAAAATTTGAGTGGTTTTAATAACAGTATCAGTTAAAAATTTTATAAAATGCCGAAAGTTCAAAGTGAAAGTGTCAAGTTACGTCAATTTGTAGAAGAATTTTCAAGTGACGTTTTTAAAACAGATGGTAAAATATTATATCGTATTATTTGTGATCAAGCTGTGCCCGTAAAAAAACGTTTTCAGGTGGTACAACATTTAAATACAGGCAAGCATAACAAAAATATTAATTTAAAAGCCAAATCTAAACAGTCGTTCATTAAAAATACATTAGATAACCAAAATAAACAAACGAATTTTCCTCTAGATTTTTGTCAAGCAATGTTAGAATCGGATATACCTTTATGGAAGTTAAATCATCCATCATTTAAACATTTTTTTTTGAAAAATATACTGGTAAATGTGTTCCTGACTAGTTTACAATTCGCAAAAACTATGTTTCTGCAATTTATGAAAATACTATTTCTCGTATTCGTTCGGAAATTGGTGATGGCCCAATTTGGGTTTCAATAAATGAGACCACGGACGTTGACGGTCGATGTTTGTAACGTCATAGTTGGTCTCCTCCACGAAGATAATTATTCAAAGCCGTATCTATTAATGTGTGAAGAAATTGAAAAATGTAATTTCCAAACTATTGGAAAAATATTTAATGATGCAATGCACCTATTAAGGCCATCAGAAGTGAAGTACGAAGAAGTATTACTTTTTGTTTCTGATGCCGTGCCATATATGGTTAAATCAGCGAACTCCTTGACTATGTTATACCCTAATTTAATTCAATTAACATGTTTGACACATGGGATTTATAGAATTAGCGAATGTTTACGAAATGAATATTCTACTGTTGATAAATTAATAGCGACAATTAAAAAAGTATTTTTGAAAGCTCCCAGCCGAATTATCAAACTACGTGAACTATTCCCAAATTTACCTTTACCACCTCAACCAATTATCACTAGATGGGGTACATGGTTAAATGCAGTAGAATACTATCCAAATAATTTTGATTTGATAAAATCTGTAATATCACATTTAGACGACGAAGCAGAATCAATTAAAAAATCAAAAGAAATGTTTGAAGATAAACATTTACAAAATGATTTAGCTTATTTAAAAAGTAATTTTTGTTTTCTCATCCAAGCTATTACTAACCTAGAAAAAAGTATACTATCTCTTGACAAAGGTTTAAACATTATTTTAAATGTGAAAGAGAAATAAGTTATTACAATTAAAATATAATGTGTTTAAATTGTATTAAAAAATCACTAAATAACGTATATTTAAAAATAATTAATATTTTGTTTTAATGACAAATATCTATTTGTATCAACAAAGATATTCAAAATATCATAGCTTTTTATATTTTTTATATATCTTTTTCAATATATAGTATTGAAAGATCGCTGAACCTATCTTGAACCAACGATGTTCTTAGCCAAGTTTTTATTTTTTTCATTGCACTGAAACTTCTTTTGCAAGTAGTCGAACTAATTGGTATTGTTAATGCTATTGTAAATAGTTTTTTTATTATTTCTTATTTTACAAGGTAAGTCGAAACAGACAGTGCAGTTTTAAAAGGCTATTAAAAAAAAACTACGCAACTTACAGAAATTATATTTATTTAATTTATTCAGTACATCATGTCGTTTTATGTATCAAGTTTTAAAAATGACATCAGAAAGATGATAGCCGTCATTAGCGATACATTGATGAAGGCGATTTCTGAAGTTTTCTGTCGCATTTTGACACTTTTCAACTGGTATAGCGCCAATTTCCTCCTTAATTCGCTTAATTTTCCAAGGTTTGAGGCTGATGCTTAAAAACCTTTTCCTTCAGTTAGCTCCACAAGAAAAAATCACAAATGCTCAAGTTCGGTGAGCGCGCAGACCACCTCACACACCCCTCAGAGAGACGAGGTGCGTAGGGAACATCTGTCGCAGCTTCGTCATTGAAACTCGAGCAAACTCAACTTTTGGGTAATCATAATCTCGTAGGGGAAGAATTAGTCTTGATGCAAAATCCTCCTTACTGAGCGGTTAGAAATTCCCAATGCAATTGAATACTTCTGAACAGAACGCGTAGACGACTGCACAATAGCTATCGTCACTATCATCAAATTTTCGTGTGTTCTTGCCATTTTGAGTCTTCCTGAACCTCTAGGATTTAGTGTAGAACCAGTTTCTTCAAATGTATGCATCCAATTCGCGATTACATTATGGTGAGGGACGTTATCATGACGCGCAAGGTTAAACTGCAGCCGGAAAGCTCGCTGAGTTGCGATGAAAGATCGACCACTTTCAAAAAACTTATAAACGGCAAAGCCCCGTTGTTCACCAGACCAAACCATGGTAATGACAGATAACGACATGGCCGCCTGACGAAATGAAACCATCATAATCTTACTATCTCCATCATGCGGGAAGTACCAAACTTTCAAAACTGCACTGTTTGATTTGCCCCATCTTGTACGATTTTCAAAAAAACGAACAGATAATTATAAAAACAACGAATAACATTTCTAACACTTTCGATTTTGGTGGGGCTATTCAAATATATAGAGGGTTAAGCTAACTCGAGTTAATTGTTTCCTTTAACTTGCCCACCTTTGCTAATAGGTGACTAATATTTTGCAAACGCGAACAAATAGTTATGTATGGACGGACGGTCTTTCCGCGGGGATGTTATCGTTCAAATATTGATCTATAAGCACGCTACTAATGTGTTCAGCCCGTTCAGATGAAGTATGTAATTGAAATAAAACAACATTATGTACAATGGTGAAAACGTACTTGGAAAATTATGTACAATAAAAACATTAATAAATATTTATAGTAAAACCCATACAGAAATGTATTATAACTTATAAACAATAGTATATATTATATATTTATCAATATTCAATGGTAATATGGTACAGATAATAAATATACAAATAAATAATACATAATTAAATCGTTTAAACATTATTTTAATTAATATTCGATGTACTGAAAAGTCTGCGTAATTATATTTTTTTATTTTTTTTTTTTTTTATTTACGTTAATCGTTTCCAAAATAATTTATTATTTAAATTATTTTAGAAACGATTAGCGTACTTTAATTCCAGTCAATGTATAAAAATCAAACACACATTTTATAAATTTACATGAACTAGACACATTGTACACGAGTACGTTCATTTAATCGATGTACACGAACCGGTTCAAAGTCGATAGATGTTCGACTTCAAAAACTGACTGTTCAATTTTTAAAATATCGATTTACCGAGTGAATTTAAAACACAACGAATGTTTAATAATAATAATATGTTGTTAATAGTATTGTTGTACCAACAGAGTATGATATAATTATACTATTGATTGACTATATACACCAGTGTTTGCGGAAAACACGTTGTGGTCTACTGATCTGTAACAAAAGTGGTCACACGTTCACACAACGATGAGGCGGCGAATTAAATAAGTATAGGTCTGCTTATTTTTCATTGTATTCAATGGGTACGCTGCATGGCCATATTGTCGTAGACGTGCCTGATGACAGTGGTCTTGTTATCTGAAAATAACAACTAAATAACATTTTTTCCAGTTGATAACCTGTTGAAAAGTAATCAACGTGGACGGCGTTCATCAAAACAAAAGCGAAGACTTTGTACAACAATTTTAGTCTCGACAATTAAAGAGATAGCTGATAACATTATAATTAGAAAATTAATTAGTTTGCAAAATATTTCAATTATGAAATCTATATGATTGAAAAAAGTTAAAAGAGGTTGTATAGAGATTATATCATACGAAGAAAAGCGTTAATAATTGAAGTATGTAATAGTTAAAAGGGATAAGTTCATTGGAAAGATAGACTCATTTGGGCAGCAAGTCAGAAAAGTAAATGGGATATTAATGTCTCAGTCCTAATTTACAAAACAGTTTAAATTAAAACTCTAAAATAATGATTATTTGTACTGAATATATTGGTTAGAATTTAACCATACCATAGTTTATTATGAATTATATTATTTGTTTTATTATATATATTATAAATGCTATGTATAATCAGTGTTGAACATTATCCAAATAAATTATCTAGATAAATAATTAATTATCTTTTATATTATCTAGATAATAAATAAAATTAGTTATCTGATGAATTATCTTAGATGAATTCTTGAGTCATCTATTGTAATTCGAAAAATTGAACTTGAAAGTTAAAAGCTAACAAAAATTTTAAATTTATGAAAACTTTATTAATTTTATTAATTTATTAACATTATAATTAATTACTATTATTTTAAAAATTGCGTTCCTGCAATATATGTTTAGTTGTTTTATTATTTAAATTATACCTATAAGTATTATTTTTAAGAATTCTTTACATAGTTAATAAAAACAATTCAATTTATACTTTCTAGTGACTCTTACAGTATCTAATTTTAAGAAAATCAATTAAATATAACGGATAAAAGTTGAATTACATTTTTAATATTTTAACCATAAATATTACTCCTTAATAAGTATTATATAAATTGTAATGAATTATTTTATAAAATTATATTATACCTACAAAGAATGTATTTTTTTTTTTTAAACTAAATACTTATTATTTAATTCTTAATTCCCATACATAAACGTACATAGTATAAATATTTTTTGTTTATTATTTATATTAGAGGTATCTATTATATTAAAGTTAAGTTCATTTTAATTTAATTTAATTTTCTAAGTATAAATTTATAAAAAAAAAGTTATCTTTTTTTATCCACATAAATAGTGTTTTATCTTTATCTTGATAAATTTCTAGTTGAACAGTGTGTATAATGTTGCATAACTCTTTTATGGTTTTATTGGTTTATCAAGTGGTTTCGAAGCCAAGACAAAACAATAATATTATTTAATTTCTCACTTACTTTTGTAATCTTTCTCTATACTAATGTCAGCTACTGGGTACGCTTGTTCTTTATGCATGCTCACATCCAAACCTATAAATTTAAATAGTGACGAATATACATATACGAGTATCTTATGTAAGTACATTGTAATTGGTAAATAAAACGATAGTTGTATACACTATCGTAATCGTTTTAACTCTAAATCTGCGATTATTAACGCTTATAGAGATATTCAAATTAACTTACCGATGAGTTCTTTGTCTTTAGATACCCGAAGTAGATCGAAAACCTTTAGAAATCCGAATAATATTGTGCTATTAACTACAGACCATGCAATTATAGATCCTGCGCCAATCAGATGTGATTTTAAAGCCTGAAAATAAATCGTTATTTCATTTTGATTCAGATTTTGAGTGAAACGATAAATGTATTGATTTTAACATGAATGTGTATTTTTTTTGTGTACGTGTACTAACCAAATATAAGAAATATGAGATAGGATAAGGGTTCTAGTTGGTATCTACCTTAGGAGTCTCATTTTACGAATTTCTAAACAGTTTTTTAATAATTGTTAAAAACTAAAAAAAATAACGACACTGTTAATGAAATACCGTTTATTGACAAAATCGAATTTTTGTTTTTATCCTAACCCAAAAAATAATAATCATATAGACTTGAAATTTTCATTGATTGCTTATATTACCGTTCACTATATATGGTATAATTTTTAATACATTTTTTTAGCTACTTATACATATTTGAAAATGTCATGTTATTTTTTAATTTAATTTTTAAAAATCGATAAAAAAAATTTTGTTTTTACAAGGAGTCTTGAAAATTTAATACAAAGTTCCTCAGACATATCAATAACTGATAATGAAAACCAAATTAAGCCTAAATAAAAATAAAAAAATTATAAGCGTTTGAGTATAATATTTTGACAAAATGATAAAAATTACAAAAATCCGTTACATATTTATAATTAAAAATACTTATGCTATATCAACTATTTTTAGAAAAATATACTGATTCATCCGACCCCTTTCATTCAGTATCGTTTTATCGATAACAAAGGTACATTGATTTTAAGTTTAAAAAATCAATACAGCAATATTTTTGTTTCTCACTCGACCTAAGAACTGCGCCATTTTTTTTTAACTAGATTATATTATAATATTTTCATTTGTGAGCAAATTTTTTTTTCAAGTAGATCAAATATATAACAGACTGAGGCATTTTCTAGATTCACTAAATTCACTTCCCCCACAATGCAGACCATGAAACGATATTCATTATTTCACTGGGATGTAGAAATATACTTAAAATTTCGGTATTTTAACTTCTTTCGATGATTAAATACGTACGATATACACAGAGGTTGTAAACTTACTTCCAACGAATCGGGATTATTCCAAAATCCTCCTTTTACGAACAACGGCACAGCTATCACTCCCCACAATCCACCTCCAAAATGAACAGCAGTCGCTTCCAGCGGATCGTCCACTGGAAAGCAACAACGACAATTTCATTTATGTAAACATTTTTTTATATTCATGAAATTATTTAAAAAACTAATATTACAGTCAAAAGAATATTTCCCAAATTACTTTGGTGTCTTGTTGGATATGTACCTATAGATAGATATCTGTTAATTAACAATTTTTTTTACCTAATAATTACTAATAATTAATAAATAATAATAAATTATTGGTATATGATTAGGCAGTTACCCTAAAAAGAATATTTTTCCGACATTTAATTAAAATATGCAGATATCCGTTATACCAAAAGAACACAAACACATTTTCAATTAAAAGCAAGCTTTTCAAAAACTAAATTAGTGAACAAATGAATTACTGATGGGTATTCAGTTTTCTTGATTATTTATCAATTATTTTATATATTTTCATGTTATTAATTTTATTATATTTTTATGAAGCATCGACTATCAGGTCGCGACCCCTTATAATGACATTAAGATTTTGAGCGGCCCTTCTACTATGATAACATTAAAAAATAGTGATAAATTAATATGATTTATAAAACGTTTTTATTGACAAACCTTAACTTTCATCAGTTGTAATTGTCAACAATCATTATCATGATGATATTTACAAAAACATCTCACTGGTTATTTTATATATTGGCGACCCTAAAAAGATTGCTTGTGACGCCTAAAGATATCGCGTCCCCCAGTTAGAGAATCGCTGATCTACCACATCTGTTTCATCTGCTGGATATCATCACGAAATATAATGGTATAGTTACACCTGTAGTTCGTTAATCAGCATATTGATACTCAGAATTGTAACAATAACTTGTATTATGATTTTAACATAATAATTTTATTATACATGTACATGTATTCATTACTGTACTATATTTTATATTTCATTTTTAGAGTACTATTTTAGATGACAGTATACCGGGTAAAAAAATAAATAAAAGTGTGCTCCGTTTCTCTGCGATAAATGAATAATATAGGTGTGAAGCGAGAAAAGCTACGCCCTTATTAACAGATACGCAATCAGATGTTTTGTTCGTCAAGCAAAACGTATATTTAACGTAAACATAAATAATTTTGATGGGACTTTGCTCCGCACATATTTTCTGACTGTACTGAGTCAAATTTAAATTTCCGCACATTATCAATTTTTACATTAATATCTACGCACCAACCGATGCCCACCCAGTGCCTACGTCGATTATTGCTGCGTATCACCAAGCAAAATGTATAATGCTGAGTACAGAAGTAAGTATAATAATATGCCATTCCTCCCGATGTCAATTTGAATGGTTTTTGATATTAGAAATTATTACCTTTTAAACACGGAATGAGCCATTGCAATACCAAATATACGACGCAGCTGATCATGCCGATCAGTATCGCTGATAAATGAGAGTATTCATTGGCGCCTCCACACATCGAAACCTATGTGAAAAAATACATATTAAACGATTTTATGGTGAAATTAAAGTAAAGTAATTTTTTTGATTTTTTTTTTTTTTTTTTCAAATAATCTGCCATCTATATTGCAGCGTAGTGTCATACATTTTTGAACGTGAAATTGAACAGATTGTTTGAGTTGGTAATGGTTTTCGGAACAAGTAACATAGACAGTATACGACTGCAGAACGAGACAAATGAGCTGGTGTTTAACGGGTAATTACCTATATCACAACACGGGTTTTCTAAAGGGACGCCTCTTGCAAGAATCACGTTTCACGTCTAAGAAAACTATTCACCATTAACGTTTCTCAAATTATGAGATTTTAAAGTGGTCTACACGCTTTGTATCAATTTTATCATCCAGCAATCCGTGATCCCCGCGGCGCTACGGCATCTTGGCAAATATTTGATAGTTTAAAATACAGTATCGAGATCGAAAAATTAAAAGACAAAAAAAACTTCGTCATGACGAACACAGTAGTTACACTGTGATGGTGCACTGAGAAACGTGAGTTTTCAACAAAATTCACTACAATCGTGCCGCTCTTCACGTACATCACCCCAGCCCCACTCAGCTTGTTTGAATTTTTGAACATTTTCTTCACCAGTATTTAGTATGATTTCATGTACGACGATTTTCCGAACTCATACGATCTTTGTTTTCCCGTTATCAAACAAAAACCCTTAGTTAACCTTTTTCGCAGGTGATTCGGACGGTGGATGGGTGGGTAGGAGGAGCGTTATACTCACCATGCCGATCAAAACGGCGTTGATAGTGGTCGCGAACGGCCATCTCGGGTCCCCGATGAGACCGGATTTGCCCAAGGTCAGTATCACCAGTGCCGAGCCGCTACCGCCCAATATGGTGTTGATCACACTCCTGGCGACCGTCGCCCCGTCTCCGGGTTCCGTTATGTGCCCCTGGGAGCCACCGTTAAACGACAGGAATCCCGATAAGAGCAACAAAGCTCCGGTGGCCACCAGCTGCAATGATAATTGTAATTATAATTATAACAATACGCGCGCGCTGAGCATTCTGTGTGCGAACTAGAGCTCTGCACGGTCCATTTTTTTAAAAGACCGGACCGATGGGATGCAGTTTTCGTTGCTCCGCTCCGTTGGAAAATAACACTGCGGTTTTTTGTGTAAAAGTAGCGAAACATAAGCGATGCGTGGAAAACTGTTTCTAAACATGTCCTAACGGAGCTGTGCAGTGATGTCGCAGTGACAAAATATCGAATGGTGAATAGCGACCCAATTTACAACTTACAACCCGTTCCACCCGAGGACATAGTTTAAAGGGTTGGGAGTTCAGCCCCTCCCGAAAACGTGTATCCTATTTTAGCATTCAGGTAATTAAACGTAATTGAATAGTGATTATGAAACGGGCGCAGTATTACGATCTATAGTTAATCGGATTGATCGATTTATTACTCGTGTACAAATACACCACGGCACCGCCCACCGCCCTAAAAATATGATCTGGTCTTGACCGGACATGAGCTCCGAGTTCAGTGCCACTGGAACTGTGCGTCGTACAACTATCCCTTTGAGCAAGTTGATTTTATTGACGGCAATCCGATCGCGTTCCCTGTGCATCGGCAGCACTCGTGTGCGCTCGGTGTAACGTCCAAACGATACGAATTCATGCGACGCGTAACGCTCAAGTACTCTCTACATGTTCAAGTTAGCCGCGTAGACGCCGTCTTAAGAGCAGACCGGTATTTTTATTTGCCGTATTCGTAAAAGTTAAACGAACAATGTTCCGACAATTCTGTGCAGTTGGGGCGAAGTTATAATTCTGTCCTGCTATTTCGAACTGATAACCTCGATGAATAAGATGTTATGGCATGTTAAAATGTTGAACAGCGGTTCAAGCGCGTAAAAGACATAATGTTCGAGTAAATCGAACAAACAATTTTATACAAACGACAAACGTGCACTCGGTTGTTTATCGGTTTTCTGGGTTTCGCTGATTGATTGAAATGTTTCTCTAATAAACCTGAACTCCCGTCGCAATGTAGAATATCGCTCCATACATCGACTGATAAAAAGTAAAAGGAGCTAAGCGCACTACAGGATAAAGAAATCATTCTATTGAAACTGTAATGAATTACAGTTTATAACTAACTGTTCGTATTGAAAACAATATCTTAAAATAAAATTTAAATAACTAATGTATATATATATATATTACCGTTTAGAATAATTTCCTTACCGGCATGGAATGTCCGTTGTACTCGTTTGTGTTGACAGAACTGAAACGTCCAATCCTCGGGCCCACGAATAGTGCCCCGACAAAAGAACACGTGCCGGCCAACAAGTGCACGACCCCGGCCCCGGCGTAATCGAAATAACCGATTTTATATAACCAGCCGTCGGGCGACCAAGCCCAATGGGAGATGATGGGATACGTTACTCCTGAAACGGATGATTTTCGTCATATGCAAACCCGTCGATTATTTGTCACTCTCAAAAACCACTTCTAAACGTGAGATACTACATTTAATTTACTAATTTTGTAATTTAATTTACTAAATTTATTGATCAACGTGAAACATTGAGTTGATAACAGTAGACGAATATACCTTATCAAAAAATACAGATCTAAAACTAAAATAAATAAGGTTAAGCTAATCGGGCATGATCGAATGTTTTCAGATTACAGTCAAATTTATGGACTTTTTATTATAATTTAGGTATATTCCAATCAAATTAAAATATTTAAATTATGAAATAAAAAATGAAAGTTATGTCATTTATAATGGAATCATAGACTAACGGTATTCTGTATTTGATATATATATATATAATTGTGGGAAGGGGCAACAAATTGAAAATAGCCCCCTCTTGATAGCCCACTCATTTAACATGAACGTGTCAAAGATTGGTTTCTATTCCAAACGTACATGCGCACACAATTACATTTCCACAGTATCACGATGTACCTACGCGAACACTGCACGTCCAGTAAAATATAGTTTTTTGATGTACAAAAAAACCTACCAGAAAAAACATAAAAATAAAACAATGAACATACAGATAAAAGTAACGTGTACGTGTTATATGGACAGGTATAATTCGGAATTCGTTCTACAAATAAATGAGACCTATACGATTGTGGTATACGAATGATGCCAAAAACGAAATCGACCTAAGCATTAACAATTAAGGTATGGGCAACGGCCAATGAATAAGTTTAATAGTTTAATAGTTTCTTGATGTACGAAAAAACCAACCAGGAAAAAAAAATAATAAAACAATGAACATACAGATAAAAGTAACGTGTACGTGTTATATGGACGGGTATAATTCGGAATTCGTATTACAAATAAATGATACCTTTACGACTGTGGTATACGAATGATGCCAAAAACAAATTCGACCTAAGCATTAACAATTAAGGTATGGGCAGCGGCCAATGAATAAGCGTATATGTATAATGTACAATTTAATATATATATATATATTACGAATGTTATGCTACTGGGTGAATACCAAGACAATTAATTTTATGACACATAGATGATTATTATAAAATCAACTCCAATAGGTTTACACTATTAGGTTTAATGAAAATTATGATTTCAAGGAATACTGCGAGGGTCGATAGATATGAAATAATAACACATTTTCTAAATATAAATCTAAGTCTATGCATTAATATTGTTTTATACAATTACGAATGTTGAGATAATAATAATTATTAACCATAGATTAAGATAATATAACCTTATGGAATGATTTATGAAATAAATTCGAATAAGTTGATCGAAAAAATATTACAACCTTCGCATAATTGTAACAAATTAATTGAGACCATTCACTTGTACTATATGTACCTATATACTTTAAGTTTGTTTCTACAGGTATCTAATGTACAATTTTTAGTTCATTTAATTTTTTTTTCAAACAAGGAGGCCCGTTGTAAATTTATTATACATTATGGTGACCAGTCCGATGGTATCTATGCGGATTCCTCTTGTGCATTTCGTCGACTGTAGATCATGATAATATTTAGACATTTCATTCACGCCATATTACCTGATACGATTACACTGTAGAATATGTAAGCGATGAAGTTGCATCTTTCAGCCACGGCTCCGGATATTATCGTAGCTGCGGTCGCGGCGAACACGTACTGGAAGAACCATACGCTGTTTTGGGTTTCCGGCAACCCCACGCCGGCAAAATATTCTTTGCCGTAGAATCCGCAACCACCGCCACCGTACGCCAAACCGTAACCGAACAACCAGTACGAAATCGCACAGAAAACTTGAAATAATAACATTAATAACAATAATAACCAAGGCTCGGGACTTATAGTATTTTCCTATTTTTATGGTTTGACATAAAGTATAGCAGAGTGTTATGGAGGTGAATGTCATGTAACACGTTCAATAGCGAAATTTGAAAGTGGTTTTTTTTTTTTCTTTTTTCGACGATTTTTTAAAGAAATGTTTGTTTCCTGTTTTTCTGATTATTTTTGCTTTTTTAAATACCTGCTTAACTTTAAACGATGATATAGGCCACTGATCATACATAGAATTTTTTCAACTATTCATACATATACGTTTTATTTTTCAGAAAATCCCACGGAAAATCCATAAATAATAAGGCAAAATATCGCGAAAATCAAGGTTAGACTTTTTTTATAATATAAAGATTTTTTTTTTTCGATTTTGTCATTAAAATATTATAAAATGGACTACATTTTTTTGTAATCTTTAACTATATATTCAGCACAGTTAAAAAATATGTCTACTTTATCATGTTCATGTAACAAGAAAATTTAGAAATTTTGCTAATTTTTTCCTAATTTAGGTGGTTTTTTTTTATTAAAAATGTTTGTTAAAATTTAAGTATTTTAAATGTTTATTTGAGTGCTTATAATGTTGATTTACGTAATTTTTAATCACTTATTTTAAAATTTTTAAGTGCTATAAGAAGTCTCGAGACATGATAATAACGTATACAAATAGAACCGAAACATTACCAAACCAAATTCAAAAATAAAAAACGTACATATTATTACAATGTTTATCCGAGTGTACAGGTTAGAATGTTCAATTAATAATAATATTATGGAAATTTATGAATAATAATGTGAATCTCGAAATTTGGTATGAAACCTAAGCCGATTCAAAAGTCTTAGTCGAACCAGTCTGGTATGAGTAAATACTTTTATAACCTGACAAGTATTTATTAGCAAACAGATCAATAATAGTAAAAAATATTAATACTCTATTTCGTCTAATCTAACGTCATCATAGCTATAAATTTTAAAGTGAAATTACTAGAAATACGCGGCTTGGACTTAAAAGTCGTAAAAAAATTAAAATTTTAAAAGTCAATATAGTCAAATGAATGGAGAATTGTATAGTTCTCCATTTATTAGCTATAGCGATAACATTTCCTGGACCCGCGACCTGCTAACCTCGGCCCAAAAATAATCATCAGGGTCTTAATTTATTACGAGGTCGTTATAAAAAATAGTGTATGGATTTAATCGAGATACTTTCAAAGCAATAAAATCGGTAAGCATTTTTATAATATTATGCGTAGTACCTACACGAACATCATAATATTATAATGATATTATAATTGGTTAAAAAATAATATCTTTTCAAATGTTAAAATTTTATACAGCTTGGTAAACGTAACGTTCCAAGGTATACAAGTATATAAATTATACTTACATAAATCCAATACGTTTTTTAACAAAATGTTTGTCACGTTCTTGGGCTGCACAAATCCAGCTTCTAAACATGCGAATCCGACTTGCATAACTACCAAACAATAGATTAGTATATTAGTAGTATTCAAATTTGGATACTTTAACCATAGAGTTATAACCAATGTTGGGACTTATCTAGATAAATTTTTTGTCATATTTTATCTTATCTAGATAAAAAACACTAAGTTATCTAATTACTTATCTAAGATAAAATTCTTACTCTTATCTAGATAATTGTCTAAATTCTTGCCAAGATTAGAGTTATTTTTATTCTTGTATGGAGACGAATTCAATAAATCAGAGATAGTCAAAATCGGTCCAGCCGTTCTTGAATTATAAATTCTGTAACCCGACTTTTATATATATATATATATATATATATAGATTTTGTATTCATAATTATAATTCATGTATTATTAATAAGTAATTATTATTTCTTGGTATGACATTTTGATTGTATTTTCATGTCGGAAAAATATTTTTGGTATTTTTAAACTTAATTTTTTATTTTTCCATTGAAGTTCCAAATAAAGTTATTATTATCATATATATTTGATTTTAGTATACACTCGTTACTTATACCCCGAAGAGTCAATACTTAATTCTTGGAACCCGTAAAGTCGTAACTACTTATAGAATAATGAAAATCATCAAATTAAGATTATATGGAAAACAATATTCCAGTGTATTTTCTAAGGAATTTTCACTGGGCGACAAAAAATGTTTTTCTCAAAATAGTCAATGTATAATACCATAGTACGATTATAGTACTACAAATTTGTTTCGCATTATTTCGCCCAATCTTTCAAAATACTGTTGACTGAGTATAATCACTGGGCGAGATTTGTGTCGCCTAGTTAACTAGTTAAAAAATGCACTGATGTATTCTATATTCATCCTGATACTAAGCAATTACCATTGTTTTTTTTTTGTGTCACATTTTAGTGATTAACTATCATTAAATATTGTACATTATATATAAATACTGCTTAATGGTACACTACATTACTACAATAAACATTAAAAACTTAGGTACCTATTGATAATAATGATTATAATTGAGTCTTCCTAGATATTATTACAAATATGAAATATTGACCAAAAAATAACATTTTTTGAAAATATCTTTTATCTTTATCTAGATAAATTTGGCATTATCTATTCCCAACACTGGTTATAACCTGTTGATTGTTTAGTTATAAATACAATACTGTACTCATCAAACTGATAATATTTTTTGTGTATATATAAATTAACCAATACTTACTTAATATATTAATTTTTTGAAGCCATCGTAAATTACGAAAAGGTTAGTTGTCATTTAAAATCCAAATTTAACCAGCATTGAACAATAAATAAATAAAAAAAACGCAATATCATAGCAAATCAATCTGACCTTGTATGTGATGACTGTGAGAACCAAGAACTATAGTTCAATTCGAATTTAGAATCTAAGTAGTTAGAAACTGGTATTTTAGGCTTCAGAGTTTAGGCATTATGGTTATTTTACAAAGCGTTTTATACACTCGTACTATTGTACACTATTATAAGTATAGTAACATTTGACTAAATTTATCTGTACACATAATAGAGTATAAAATACGAGTAAAATACGAGTACCTGGAAACATCGACTTCAATGAAGAATGATGTTGATGACGAAATCGCTTAGTAATATATTTTCCCGGCTAATGAGTCATACGAAAACACTTGTCGAAACGAAAAAAAAAATATTAAAAACAAGGAAATTTAGAATCGCCTAATATTATAGACAATCTTAATTTCAACTTGGGCTCTTGGTTCGATGCGGGTATATTGATGTGCGCAGTCCGTACTTTAAACAATAAACATGGGTTGAATACCCGAGTATAGAGCCGTCTTAAAGATTTTTTGGGGACTTTGTATCAATTGTACCGAAAATCGCAGGTAAAGAAAGAAAAATTATGGGATGGAAAAAAGGTTTACATCTATTGTGCCGGTATAAAAAGTGTATAATTTATAGGTGTACATCTATTGCGCCGATCGATATTCGAGTTAATACATTTTGCGATTACCTTATTCATACATACGTAAATTGAAGAAAATGCAATTTTTCGCTCGTATCTTTGGTCATCGTGTAACATATCAGGCGAAAGAACAACAGATGCCTCTGAGGTATTTCACTCAGCGTTTGGGAAATATTTTTATTCACCCCATCAAAATATTTTTGTTTCTTATGAAGTTTTAAAAAATAATGTAACGCAACAATCATAATACGTGTTCTCTTAGTTACCACAAATAGACAAAACTCTAAATTTATGACAAAATATAAATAGTAAAATAGACATAACTAATTTTAATATTAGAGACCTAAGAAATTTTCAAAATTTGTAGGATTAGTGTAAATATATATACATATATATATATAATATACTATTAGTATAAATACAAAGTTTGTAGAATAAGTTTTAATTTTAATTTTGTTTTTAGCCATTATGATTTTTACTTGTACTGTATAATTGTTATGCTGGTACAATAGATGTATACCTTTTAAATATACCCTTTTTAAACCGGCACAATTGATGTATACCTTTTTAATATACCCTTTTTATACCAGCGCAATAGATGTATACTATACAAATAGTGTCCTCAATGCGGCGCAATTGACGAATACTGTTTTTGGACACGAAGGCAAATTAATTCGGGGCCTCCTCTATCATCACAATAATATACGAGTATGGTAAAAGTATACAAGTTAGCAAAATGTTGGTAAATATAAATTTCCAATTCTCAACCAATCAAGGTTATTTAAATGAATTGATAATTTTTTTAATAACTTCTCAACAACTAGTTACCAGATTTAATAAAAATGAAATGTATTCCTCGATAATTTATAAACAGTTATACAAAATAAGTACTTGGATGTTATCGCGTCGATATATTATGATTACGAATTTCTACGTAAATATGGATAAAATTATGTCATTCTTTACACTCCAGCAATGACCTTAATAAATTACAGTTATAATTATTTAGAAATTGGATTAACTGAAAATTTAGCCTGTATAATAGCGCTCAAATATAAATTTAAATTAATTGTATTAATATTTCATAATCAGTGGCGTAGGAAGACTGGCTAGCGCCTCTGGTAAACATAGAAAAAGTTACCTTTCTAACCAATTAAAATTTGACACATGATATTTTTTTTAACTTTTAATTTTATTAGTTTTAAATATACAATTTATACTTATAAGTTATTATTATAGTGTTAATTTTAAACTTTGAAAATTTGCTTTTCTCGCTTTATGACTGGCAAATTCATCGATAATTTTTTCACTTGAAATTTTTTATTTAAATACCCTATTTTCATAATTTCATCATTAAATTCACACGTAGTGGGTACAAATAGACTACATTTACGTATTTCAAAAAATGTCATAAATATGACGACTTTTGCACAATTTTTCACTCCTGACGTTAGCACAGTTCGCCATACCCTTGCTACATCACTGTTCATAATGAAAAATAGTTAAGAAACAATACCAGTATATTAATACTAATAATATTTCATGATAACACCGAATATTTCTAATCAATCTGGACTTTTAAGAGGGCCCCTTTTAAATTTTCCAAGACAGGGGCTGTCTGAGTATTTAATAATTAATGCAATTATTGCATGCGTTTTTGAATTTCGAATGAATTAAAAACTCATCTTTCCATGTATTTAGAGTTCAGAAGTGTGTACAACATTTGTGTTATAAGAATTAATAATATTTTTTGACGTTTAATATTCAGACGTGTGCTATGAAATGCCCTTGGTATTCCTGTACATATCGTTTTTTTGTCGCCCGACGATCGCCATTTACATACATGAACTGGTGAACAGCTGCATACCGGACAAAATCTAAAGTTATTGTTTTAGGTTTCGATCTGTGGTTTACCAACCTTTAGGTAATTTAAACGAGTAGGGTAATAAGGTTAAACTGTAATTAATATTAAACAGTGAAGAATTACAACTATATCGACATAATCGTGGATTTCGATCAAGTTTCATTGGTAAAACTAATTATGTACTATTTCGAGAGATATTATTTAATTAGTGTGTTATGCATTATGATATAACATTTTCGTTACCACACATAATTAGAAATTATTTATTAGTTATTATTAGTTATTAGTTATTTATTAGTTGAGTAAGTGTAACGGTTGTGTGCGGATGTATGTTTAACGCCAAAGCAATAAAGTTTACTGTGACTTGTGTGCACGATAACCAAACACATTTAGATACGTGAAATAAAGGCCATCAGTTTTAACGCATGCTAAAGATTCATATAACTTAGTCTTGTCAGTACCTATTTTTATTTGTTTCAATTTTTTTTTTTTTTTTAACAAACTTTTATACGATAAGATTAACGGTATAAAATTAAAATTGGTCCGTTGTTTATTTCATACAAATTATTTTACCAAAATGTTTAAAAACATTAACTGATCTGATCCAGATTAACCTACTCGATAGTACATTCGATAATATACAGTACCTAGGTAAATGTTATGTAGACATATAAACACACATTAATGATACCGTTTTCTTTCTCATCATAGCGGTTGCCATGCGTTTATTTCAATTGTAAAAAAAAAAAAAAAACATTATATTTTCATACGAAACTGAGAACATAAATACGAGTACATTATATTCATTAAACATAATTATGATTACGAAAACCATCGTCACTGAAATTACTAATAAATACTTATCTAACTATTTATTTTCTTGAAAAAAATGTAGAACCAATCAATTATAATATAAATTCTTGACAATCGTATTTTTTACGTTAATGTGAGATAAAACATTACAATTATTTGTAAAAGTCTTCGTATTTCGTTAAACATTTATCTTTTCTTCGCGACCATAAAACAATAAACAATGATTAGTAATTACTTTTTATTATTATTTTTAAATGTCAACTGTACAATACGATAGGTCCATATACACGTTCGTACAACGTTATTATGCGCTTTTGTACTAAATAGTGTCCGGTGATCAGCTTTATTTTTAACATTAATATTAGTTGGTGACATTGATAAGTCGAGCGAGTTTAATTTTTGTTTTTTTTTTTTTTTGTCGTTATTCCGACTAAAACGGACAATCACTATACGATAATCGATCGTAGTTTGTGTACTATGGATGTTGAAAATAGGTTCGATGTTTGATTTCTAAAATGCGTATCATATAGACTAAGTACGCACATACACTACAAAGGTATGTCCGTAACGCGTGTAACGATAATCAAACTTACACGTTTCAACATTTACAACTACTAAAAAGTAAACCATATGCATATCATAAACGACTACTAAAATATAATTGTATTTATTTATGAATAATAATAAACGCCCGGTGGGTCCGTGCACGAAGTACGAATATAGGTTAATTTTATATGTTAAGTGATTAATATTAAATACGTGTTAATTAATTTAACGAATAATAATAAATGATGATACAGCAATTAGGCGTTTAAAGATATTATGCAAGAACGAAGAGTAACAAATTAAAATTAAGTTAATCATTATAAGCTTAATGTTTCAAACTGAATTTGTAATTTAGGCGAATTGTTTTTGAAGAGTATGAAATAATACATTTTTCAACTTTATTTCCTTAAGTTGAAATTCGGTTTACCAGTGCGAAAAAACCATAATTGCGTTTGTGTGTACGAACATACAACGTATTAGTTGACGTATTGGTAAGATATGCACATGATGCTTGGGATGTATTAATATAAAGGAATTTAAAGAAATTACGATTATAATACCTCAGGACAATTGATATTGAAATTTAGGGAGGTTATATGGTCTGCTTAAGTCGTTAAATTGTTTTTTAAATTATATTATTACAGTATTAAAATCTGTGACTAGCGATTTTAGTATTTGTATGACATAAGTGTAGTAAAAATTCTGTTCTGCATTCGTAGTAATTTTTTAATAAGGTAATATTGGTGTATTCTCGAAATTGTTGACTTTAGAATTGATGAAACAAGTGAAAATATGAAACACACTAAGCATAATAAAGAGTCGTGAAACTTTCAACAATTATTGTTCAAAAAACCAAATACATGTAATGCTTTATTAGAGATAACATTTTCATAATTTACATGTTCAATAAAGGAAAGACTAGATTGTATACTATTTATTAAGTTTTTAACTAAATATTTGATAATATGATTTAAAGTTTTGTTTTTTCTTGTAAACAATAATAATAATTTGAAAATGAAAACATCATAATTCGAATTTGTTAGTCACGAATAACTATATTTCTACTTGCTCTGCATAGGTACTAAAGATTTAAAAATGTATTGGTTTTCGAAAACGACCGGTAATAATGTCGAATTCAAATAATTTTTGAAACACTAAAATATTTTTATAAACAAATGCATTTTTTTTTTTTTTTTTTTTAATCGATAAAAAATAAATACTCACAAGATATAATTATTCCATTTATAATCAAAAACATGTCGTTGATATTGAGCTTTAATTCGTCCAATTCCAGTCGCGTGACCATTAAATGGCTTAATGCGGTTTCACTATTATTCACGGCCATAATATTACAGTGAAATTAAAAATATTTAAAAAGATTCCACCGAAAACGAAATGTAAAGGAATGAGAACAGATGATAAAAATTATATTTTCCTTTAATGTTCATGCGTGCTGTATTCCATTGTATATCATAACGTTGTCCGAACAGCGGCGTCAGAAGAATTTTGCAGAATGATTCCGGAGAAGGTTAGAAACTGCAGTCAAAAGTGGTTTCAAAGTAGACAAAAATCAACTGACGAGATTAAACTTACTGTACACCGCCGGGTGCGTTTTTGCGTCCGATTACTGGTTTGCGAATTAGACGTGTTGGAGAGGGCAACACGGTGAAGTCGTAAAGATGAAACGAATGCCAATCGCTAATTACGTGCATACTCGCATTCCTTGGACGAACAAACATTGCAATTTTTAATCGTTCAGATATCAATATTTTACATACGTACTTAATGATGACATTCTAGTTTTCGCAGAAAGCAAAAAAAAATACTTAACTTATTACATACAGTAATGATGCGCGAACGACGACGATTGTGAACACATTGACGTAATCACGGGGATACGTAGATCTTTCTACATCTCTGTTTCTCCCCATCTCATTTACTCTACGGTGTCCCTTGTATGTTTTTCAAAAAAAATCTCGCCCTTCTGCCCGGTAAATTAACATTAATGACAATTAATTTTGACTTGTTTTATTGGTTTTAATAGGTAAAAATAAATTTATAAAGTTGATGACCTTTATTTCTGGTGTACTATTTAATTTTTATAATTAGTAGTGTAAAAAAGGCCGTTTATTGTTAATTTTTCATCTTTTTTCGCCGTTTATTTAATTAATTAGAAATAATTTTACTACACGATGACTACACGATGATCGTGATATTTGGTAAAGTTATCTTTTTAAATCAAAAAAGGCCGAATTCGGGTTCACGATAGTAATTTAACGAATACATTTAGCGGAACTGATATCATTATTGGTTTAAAATCTAAGATAACACCGCTTGGAAATCGACGTACGCATTGCTTGTTTCGTTTCGTTCCTCGCACACATGATACTGGTTGCGAGCGTGTGCGTGATTTATCACTGATAAATGATTAACTATCACACACGATATACACATCGTACATTTCGTAGGTTTCTGTGGGCAGCAGATTTGTTATTCGTAATACACTTGAGCAGGGTTTTAAGCGCCTAGAAACAAGGCACTTTCATCCGACGGTTTGTTATCATCAAACATGATTTCACCTATGCACCTGACCTTACAGTTTTGGTCTCATTATTTTCTAACCGTAAACCAATAATATTCACTGTTTGTATTTTATCACAATAACGGCATTTCGATTGTGAACATCGTGCGCGTGACGAACAATACGTTCCCGGTGATACAACGCCTGTATGTACATACACATGGATTTGGCATTCGTCCGCTGTGCGTGGCAGGACAATTAAAAAATGTAAAACACGTCCGCGGGAAAATATTCGCCAATATTGTGCCTAGTATACGTGTGCCCGAAACTGCGCGTTCAAATAGGTTATTGCAGTGAACACACGTTGTACGCGCAACGGAATCACAGTTGATTTCGTTCTTTGTACAGGGCCGTCCCGAAGATGAAAATCAAGGGGGGGAGGTGAATAATGTGAAAAATGCCGACTACAATTTTTTTACTGAATGGATGTAGTATAATTAACTATATGTAGTCGTATTTTTACATTTTAACGTGTATATATGTGTCAGTGTCGCACGTTCCTAAAATTGACAATTTAATTATATATATATATAATAAATAGTTATATACACTGTATTACGAAATACGTAATATTTGTTTTCCGTAAGTAAAATTAGGTCCTTCTAGGTTATAATGAAACAAGTCCGACTGCCGACTGATGTTTTCGTTGGGGAGGGGGGTGAGACACTTCTTCTCGGGCAACTTTGCCTAAACACTATGACAATAGTGTTTACCTGCGATGAATAATTACGATATCGTAGTTGTTCATTTCCACGGGTAAAAATCATTACTCTCAAGTACATTGTTTATACGCACACCACGCGAGGCCTCTTGCAAAATACGTACCACCTCGGTAAACGTATATTTTCGGCACGTTCCTCGTCGAAACATTGACTAAAATTATTAATCATCATTGCTGTTATTATTAAGTACGTGTGCGCGTGTTAAACATGACGTTCAACGTGTCACACGGGGTTCATTACAGCGTGAGTAACGCGATATTTGCATAAAATTAATTTCATGTCCGATCGAACACGATATAACAACGCGATAAGTGATAAGCACACGTCGACTGCGGAGCCGGCCCAGTGGCGGGTCACGTAGCCAACACGATCCCCAACATGGTCGAGCTGAGTACTATCAACATGATCATTAAAATATACGCTTTGGCAGGGTTTTGCGTCGCCGCGTACGCGTTTTACGCGGAGACTTCATTGGAAAACGATCCGGACTTCAAGCCGTTGTGCGACATCAGGGATTACGTAAATTGTTCGCCGGCTTTTCAATCCCCGTAAGTTTGTACGCACATTTTAAATTTTATTTTTAATTAAAGCGATGGACATTCATGACGAACGATCCGAACGCTTTGAAAACGCTCAGAACTTGCTTTTGTCCGAACCGTAACGGTACACAAGATCGAATAACGATTTCGCTGTGAATACACGTGTGTAACGCAGCTATCACAGGACAAAAAATTGAGGCAGTGCTCCGGGGCCCCGAAAAACAGGGGAGTTCGGGGTCCTTGGACAGTTCTGAAATTATTTAATAAAACAATTTATTCATATATTATAGATGAACCAGTTTGTTAATATTGTAGCACGTAAAATATTATACATTTGATTAGATACGTATTAATAAAATACAATAAATCTAATAATTTTAATTAAATAGCTAATAACAATAATAATATAATCTGATAATTATCTGTTTGTTGTTTATTTTTACATTTTCATTATCTAGTTTCGTAGTGAATACACAGAATATTACATATATATTTTGAATCATCATATAAAGATAATTTTAGTCGGGGGATCTAGTTTATTTATTTCCCCGGGTTCCTATCCTATCAAGTCTGAAAAATTTAAAATATAACTGTACATTTAATTTATTCGTATTAAATATAAACCACAATGAGTGACCTATCGCCTATACAATAAGCATGAGGATAAACAAATGTTTTAGTAATTGCAAAACTAATGTGATCCTCACAGCTTAATCGTAGTAATTTTTGTTGGTACATATCTGAAAATTATTATCACTTATATCGCACATATTATTATATTATGAAATTTCGTATATTTTAGTCCTGTGATCTAATCTTATCCGTTAATAACCGTGTCGTGTTGGAAAAATGGAATAAATAATAAACTATTGTATACTGTTGTGTGAAATAATTCTTGCTCAAGCAAATAACCGTTTCATTTTTAACTAACAACAATATTTTATTTGTTTTATCATTGAAATGTAAAATGTATTATGAAACTAAAAATTGAATGATTTTATTAAAATATAACAAGTACGGCTCAAGAAAGCATAATTTGCTATTCATCAATAAGTATATTTCTACTCAATAAAATAAAATATCTTAATAATAGATGATTAATTTGCAAATCAAATTGAAAACTTAAAATTGTATCCAATAACGAAACTTCAAAAACAATGATGATAAATCTTACATCAAAACGTGCAATATTTTAATTTATAATATATTTGTAGTACTATACTGTTACACAAATGTATATGTCTGTAACTAAATTTCACTACGTATTGATTATTAATAAAAAAAAACTTTTTGATTCTTACATTTGAATTTTTTTATTATTTTATTATCCTGAAATATGAATTAATACTATCATAAACTTAAACTTGGTATGATCAATTAATAAGATAATTAAGTACCTATTACAAAACACTATTATCTATATTAAGTTTGCTGTAGTTATTTTATTTATAATCTGATATAGATATTTGAAAATGATTGGCTTTGAAAAGCTATAAACTAATTAAGATAAATATTTTAAAAGAATAATAATACTTACCACACATGTCCGACAACATTGCAACCATAAAAAATACAGATGATAAAATTTTAAATTATCGGGAACGTATAGTATAGTATTTGCATCAACATTTGATTGATTGAATCATTTTTTGTGATAATTTGTATTACTACAATTAGTCATCTTAACGTAGATCAGGTATTTAGTTGACTATATTGTATGTATTACGTTTCGCTATCATTGGTATTTATTAGTGAAACACGTTTGAAACAGTATCACTTGATTTTATACTTAAATTACTATTTCAGAACATTATTAGTATGACATAAGTAAAAAAAAGTTAAAATAATAAACACTAGAGAAAATAATAGAGCTCGATAATATAATTGGTATTGAATAATATTTTTTACATAGTGGACTAGTGCGAGCTTTAGTAATAATACGTTAAATTAAAAATTTTTAAATACGTCATCCTTCTGCAGCATGATTATCTCAGATAATTAAGGACCGGTATTTCAATGTGTACTTAAACTTAAGCTCAAGACTATGTAAAACTTAAGTATAGTTTTTTACATTTCGTTGAGGTGTATGTAACAAGTACTACTTTTTTGCGGCTTATCTTAAGGAACGCTCGAAGTATGGTTTAAGCTGGTGATTAGGTGTGGCTTGTCTACAACGATTTATTTTATCAAAATAACATTTTAATCAAAATTTAAATAAACAATAAATAGTTGTAGCGTATAGTGAATAGTTTTATATTATACCTAATAAAATTATGGATAATGATACTTTTACATGTTCAATGTGTAATTGCATTTGTAAGTAGGCTTGATCAGTCAAGAAAATCTCGAATTGTTTGTATCAATAGTTAAATTCCTCGAATGGGATGAAAAATAATTTTATTATAGATTTCGTTTAAATAAATGATGTGTGAATATTGTATTAGATTTAATTGTAAAGTTGCAAAATTTAACCATCTACAGATCGATATGAATCAATGGCAAAATAAATACGTAAATCATATTTTAGATTCTGAGCAGAGCGAGGAATGTATTGGTTTTATGATGATATTTATTTATTTTTATTTTTTATTCTGTAAACACTTTTTCTCCCTCTAAACTTGCTCAAAAGTATCAAGTGTAGTATTTTATCTGAAAGGCAATGTTCTTGAGCTGGTACTTTAGAGAGGTCATTTTTCAAATTTTCGAAACGGTACTCGAAATAAAAGCGGTTAAAGTTGAAAAACGTACGATTTCATAATTTTATAATATTAAATAATTACGGACGACGTTTTCTACCAGAAATATTACTTCAAATAAAAAATGACTAGAGATCTTATTTGTTGTTTTTTGGATTTTGTTTCTTACGGTTTAAAGTTCGAAAAATTTTAGTCGTTTTTGAGCTATTTATAGATATTTTAATTTTGGGAGTTTTTTTTTGTTGTAATTCGGTTAAAAACATTCGTAAAAACTTGAAATTTGGGTTGTTTACTTATATTATCCTTACCTAAACATGGTAAGATTTTCAAAACATTTGAGCGACTTTTGAGCCTTTTCTTTTACATTTTTTTTTCATTTTTATGATATTTCCTAATTATAAATTATAATTATATAAATTATCTTTTAATGTAAATCGTTCTTAAGCTATTCTTAAAACGCTTTGTATATCACCATAAAAACAAATTAAATTAAATAAAAAAGATTCCCTCGTCCGCTCAGAATCGTTTTTTATCGAATGCAATCATTGCATTCAAATCGAATACAGCCTTAATCATGGTGTTTTGGTTTATCTTAATCCTACGAAATACCCCAGTTGAAATATCAGCCCTTAATCATACAAATAATAATAAAAAATATCTTATTATTCTATATTGAATTTATCATATCTTATAATATTTAATTACTAATAGATTAAAATATTATATTTTATAAACAAGATAATAAAACTTTATTGAAAAATACAAAGTCTGCGCCTTGTAATCAGTGAATACAGTACAGGCGTGTCAACGGATTTGACGATTCACATTCTAATATGAGCCAGTCAATCGTGTTGTGTAGAATAATAGTATTATTTAACATGGGTAAAACTCTAGAAGTAAACGAACGAGTGATTTAATAAATTTTAAAATGTATCATTTCTTTTATTATTAACTGATATCCTTTAATTTGCATGCCGTTTTTATTGAAAACCCCAAAATTCAACCATTGACGTCCATCGGCCCATTAGCTCAGTTGGTTAGAGCGTCGTGCTAATAACGCGAAGGTCGTGGGTTCGATCCCCCCATGGGCCAGAAATTTTTTTTTTATTAAATTAATTGAAAACGATCGTGTTTTCTAATACCATTGGTTTAATAATAAATTTTATTTTAGTTTTTATAAAATTAATACTAATATTATATTTTTAATTTTAAAAACTGTTATACAAATTCATACAAATTTCATACTAAATATTGGTGAAGAATTTTTTTAAAAAATGCCATATATATGATGTAAGTATTATGTGTATCTAGTTTTATTTATTATATATTTTCTCGAACTTTTTCAAACAGTCAAGAATGAAATGAAAAATTAACCAAAACCATTGTTATGAACTATACAACTGTTAAGCGGTTTGAAAATATTTGTTTCAAATAAATCAATGTATTGCAACTTTGAAAATCGAAACGGTTGTCCTTGAAAATGCGGTGCACGCACATTTCAAATAAACCGACCACAATTTTTTGCTAATTGTATAATGAAATGTCTTACAAGAATGTTAACTATTTGCAGATACGCCAAGGGGTTCGGTATCGTCGGGTACGTGTTCGGCGAAGATGTATTTTTCAATGTTCCCAACGGACTCGTCGGAATGATATTCTACACCGTATCGTTCCTGTTGAGTACGTACACACAACTTATAATACTATAAAATATAAATGATCGAATGTGTACAACATTACATATTATTCTATTCAGAGGAATATTATCTTCGCGGAAAATCGTCCGTGTTGTCCAAGAGATGAAATCCGAAAAACCAATTTTACCCAGGCGTGGTTTCAGAGACTTAACAGATGGGGAGGGGGTATTTTTTTTAGCTATCGCTAAATTTCAGAGGGATCTTAAAAAATATACTAACCTGGAATACAAGTTTGACAATAAATAATCTCTTGTATTCACACATTACACTTGTTTTTATTTAATAAAATATTTATACATTACGTTCCTATATTATGATACACAACTTAAATTAATTTCATAATATGGTTTTTAGACAAAATAAAATTATTAGGTAGGCATCTAATTAGATGATCGGGATTTTACAGCTCACCAGGACAAAAATGTATTAAAAAATTTTAATATTTGAAAAGCCTGGGAGATTCATGACCCCAGTGCCTCCCCCTCTTGGAGCCGTGCTTTATCTTATCTCTTACACGACCGTAGTACTTTTCAATGATTATGCGCAAATAGTTATGCTGTACATAATATGTACTGAGTCAATATGGCTAAATATTTTTCAAATTTTGGTTTGGACGCGTGCTTTTGAATTTTATCGGATTAACCGATCTCCAGCTTTCTAATCAAGTTATAGCTTGTTTTTACACCCTGACAAAATATGTCACACAATACGTAGACCATTTGATATTGTTTCTCTTAAAGTATTATAATACATCAATTATATTTTGTATTATGCAATAGAGATTTATGATAAATAAATTGGTGTTACTATTTAAGTATCGTCAATGGTCGAAGTGACTCGAATAAGTGGTCGTTAAAATTTCGTAACTAATCAATATAACGTACCTTAAAACTAAATATTTCATGTTGAATATATATCTTTACTTGAGATCAAATCTATAATATTATTACTAGTAACCACTATAAAATATTCAGACCGATTTTTCAGAAGAGCGTGTTATTTGAAAACAAAAATTAGCAAAGAATTGAATGAAAGAAAATTAAAACCAATAGCATCGTGTAGTGTAGTAATATGTCATCCTTCTGTTTTTCACACCTCAAACTTTTATCACCATAAATTATATTTTAAGTATCATATCGTACTGCGGAGCCCACGGGTTTTCCTTAAACACGTACAACTATAATGATGATGACACTCCACCCTTTCCCATCATATATTAAAATCTACATTATCATCTCATATAAGTAAAGGAATGGATGGATAATTGCTAGGACTGGGACCGGTATCCTAAGGCTAATGGCTACCAATGCAACAGTTGCACAACATGATAATCCAGCTATGATGTGGGTGCTATCGATAGTGACATTTGTAACCGGGTACTATCGATCACGAGTGGGACCTGTATAACCTGTTGATTTACGTTGGTCTTTTAATTTTCCTTTCGTTTCCTTCCAGGTTTCTCGAACAACGAAAAAATCGTAAACGCCCAATACTACCTGGCGATCGCGTCGAACGCGTCCACCGTTTACCTGGCTATTGTGTTGGCTTTCGTCGTCGGAGAACTGTGCTTGGTGTGCCTGACCACGTACGTAATAAACGCCGTGAGCCTGTTGTGCGTCTCGTCCAAACGGTGTCGGTTAACGCGCAACAGAAATGGCTGCAAAACGAAAGGCGATTGAAAGAAATCGAAAAAAATCACAACGAACCCGACCCAAACGAGACGGAAACCAGCGCGCGTATTTTATTATTTATTATAATCGACCGAAAACGATTCGGGTTTTTGTACACCTCCTCCGGATGAATAAACAAAAATTCGTCAGACATTACGTGTTATACGTGTTACGATATTCGTGCCTACTCGGTAACAGGAAAGAACAAAAAAATAAATAAATAAATCTTATCGCATAGTTTTACATTATACGTCGTTACAAGCGTTTGCCGATTCGCGTGGGCGAACACGTACGTATAACGTACGCAGATCTAACATGGAATCTCCCGCGGCGGCAGCGAATATCCAACCGAGTGTGGGTCAGATGGAATGCCACGGTGGAATCGATTTTTTTTTTTTTTTGGGGAGTGCCCTGCTACACGACGAATCGTCGAAAACAAAACGCGCGCGCAGACCCGTCCATATTCGTATGGCACATGCTATATTACATTAAACAGGTTGAGGTCGACCGAGACGAACGACATTGAAACGGTATGTCGTCGGTACACGCCTAGGTACTCGAACTAGGAACGGGCGCGACTGGGCAACCGTGGTCGAAAAATAAAATCAAGCCTAGTCGATAATGATGTTATTCTTATTGTCATATTCATATTGCCCTCGCAAAAAAGTGTATCGGAATCATCGACAATAGTGGTAACTGATACACGTTCACACGCGGTTAGGGCTCGCGACGTTTTTTCGGTCAACGCTATGGGTCGACGAGTAATTTATTCGCTTCCCCGTTGACCGCGGTCTTCTAAACGGATCGACAAACGCCCACGTTCCCGAGGGACCTGCCGCGCGAACGCGATGAACCCGAATAACATCGGTGTACACATGTGTGCTTACACGCGATGCGCAAGTGCCAGGTTTCGAACAAACTTCGTGTACACGAACAGGAAACACTCGTTTGCAGGAATCTTCGAAATTCATTATGCGTAATACATATGCGTGCCGTGCGTCTGCTGTGGTCTTAATTTAAACACAAGAAACGAAATGTCGTTTGGTAATCATTGATCGGACGGTTACATTTCGACTCGTCCATTCCTACGCGTTTTCAATCAATTAATAAAACCGATCAAATCTGTCTTTGCAGAGCCCGTTAACAGTGTAAAAGTGAAAAACACAAGCATAAGCGTGCACAGACGTTACTGGCAGAGCAGTCATACATAACACATTAACATTTAATATTAACAAAAAATTTGAACTGCGTAACTTCATTTAACTTAATAATAATATTTTTCCGATATTCTTATACGTGTATTTACCGTTTACGGACGTTTCGACAGGGTTGAACATAATATGGTTATTTATTATTGTGATGATATTGAATATTTCAGTGAGGGAAGGAAGATTCGCACGGAGTAGTCAAGTGCCTAACCTGACTACCCCGAGCTTATAAATATAATATTACGGTATATCAACAAAAAAACTTGACTTGGTTTAAAACTAATTCATAATTAACAGTAGTAAAAAAATATAATTTGTATAATAATATTCGATAAGAACAGTGATGATATTAATCTACACAATATAATGCATTTTGTATGGAAAAAACTAATTAATTACTTATAATAATAAATACAAAGGTGTTAATAAATAACATTTATAAATGTATTGAAAATAATAAACGCATGCACTCAACCCTGCGCAGTGATTCAAACGAAAACCGGGTGTTAAACGTTTACAGAAAGATTTAAGGACACGGAAAACATTTTTAGAAAGTAGCGCGAAAAAAAAGGGAAAATAACCTCGTAACGTGTCGTTCGGCGACAACCGCAAACAATAACACGTAGGTAAGGACAACAAAAGCGGTTTATTATTATTATATTTTTTTTTCTGGCGAATCTCTACTGGGCACATGTAAATATTGTAAATTCCCCAAAAATTTTTTGCTACCGTATTGCACTAACGTAAATTCCCCCAATAAAATTAGAACCATTTAGAGTAACCCAGAAGACACCACGTAGAGGCGGTTCTAGTTATCCTCCAAAAATATTCGTATTTTTAATTGCATATATATTTCTTTGTTCATATTTTATAATTAGAAAAATATCATACAAATAACCATTATGAGTAAACATTTCACGGTCCCTTATACTTTTTATTGATTTCATTTTGGCTATGAATTACTAGTATTGAATTAAATTTTGTACTTCTTGATGATTGATAATTGAAGAGGTCAATACAAAAACTATGTTAGTCCATATTTGAAGCAACATAGCAATTTTTCCACATACAGTCTGGGCAGAAGCATCTTCCGAATTAACAAAATCCATAAATACTTGTGAATCATTCCGTGCTCATTTTAAATCAAATTTTAACCATAGCCATCCAAACATTTTTATGTTTATTAATATACTAAAAAATATTCGATTAGAAATTTACATAAAATTACAAAGCATACACAAACCAAATAGTTGCAATAATAGTAAGTTAAAAAGACGTCAAAAATTATTAAACTAGCTAATAGAAAATTATAAAGAACAAAAAATTACTACATTTCATTATATAAAAACCGTTTCACATTATTACTCCATCAAATATGCAGTTAAAAATACAAATATTTTTGGAGGATAACTAGAACTGCTTCCACGTGGTGTCCTCTGGGTTACGCTAAATGGTTCTAATTTTTTTAGGGGAGTTTATGTAAGTGTAATACGGTAGCAAAATGTTTTTAGGGGAATTTACGTTAATATAATATGGTAGCAAAATGTTTTTAGGGGAATTTACTATTTAATTTTTTAGGGAAGTTTACATTTGCCCTTTCTTCTGTATAATGGTGTGTACAAGCATAATGTAGGTAGTAGGATTCGTTTGAACTTGTCGGCCTCTGCAGCCACCTTATGCAAAGTTTATTTTTAGAAAGTTAAAAAATAAATTGTTAAAGGTTTAACATGATAACTGGCTTACTGGATTAACTTACTTAACTGGCTAAATCTTCTTCATAAATCTTGATATGACGTATATTGTATACACTGTCTTATTGTTTGTATTGGACTTATTACAAAATATAATTATTTTGGAAAAAATTTCTAGGGTAGGAAAGATACCTCTGGATACCTCTTAGTGACGCCTATGGTCCTATCAATCAGTTGGTTTGAACCGTAATTCGTGCTGTCAGCGGATATGGTAAAAGTACAGTGTGTGTGATACGGAAAGTAATTAAAAAATCGATTTGCGCAGTGTATTATGAATAGAGAGTGAGCATCTATATGTCCATCACAATTTGTGAACATATCTCAGCTACTACTTAGTCATATACGACTGCATTTGCGTACATATTACTTTTTACATGTACATTTGCGAAAGGTTATAATACAAAAGCCGAATCAAACGCGTGCGAAACACGACGACGGAGTTACGTATACATACGAGTATAGGGCCGCCTCGAAAGGGGGTCTTGGGGGGTATCACCCCCCCCCCCCCCCCCAACAACAACAAAAACACCAGTCGGCAATCGGACTTGTTTCATTATGGCTTAGAAGGACTTATTTTTACTTACGGAAAACAAAACTACTTATTATACCTAAAATATAAAATATTATATATATATATAATTAAATTGTCAATTTTAAGAACGTGCGACATTGACATATATATACATGTTAAAAAGTAAAAATACGACTACATATAGTTAATTATACTACATATATTGAGTAAAAAAATTGTATTAGGCATTTTTCATATTATTCACCCTCCCCCTTGATTTTCATCTTCGGGACGGCCCTGTACGAGTATATATAATACGTAGTCGTATTTTTTTATATATACATTACATCAACATGTAATATACATACGACTATACGTACGGACGTTGTATTATTAGTGCAGTAAAATTTCGTGCTAGTGGCGGCTCACGCCGAATCACATTGAAAAATCGACTTGATATTACTTAGTCCTTACGTAGATATTACGTATAAAGTACAGGTTCGCACAGCATGTTTGCTGGATATATCCGTAAAATATCCGTAAATATTAATGGTTTTCATCAAATTTTTAGATTTATCGTAACTACCTAACAGGGCACCATATGATAATAAAAAAAACCGTGTTTTCATTCCTCAACCGGATTTGAAAAATACATTTTTAATTTTTAATTTCTATAAAATTGAAAAGCAGTCAGATTAGGAAATTAAAATGTTTTTAGGAACAAGTATGGTAAGTATAAACCCAATTATTATTTACATATTTATTGCTACGATACATTTTGAAAAAAATGGAAGGCATATATGATTAGTCTTAATTGCTGTTGTAATTGGTATAAAATGGATAACCTTTTCGACAGCAGAAGCTATATATAATATAGTGTATCGGCATTCATTCATCTCATCGATAGTAAGACGCACTGCTGAAGCCGCACATTTGAGTAAAATAAACAAACCCATTATGAAGTAAACGATTTAGGCGAGATAAAAATTGTCTAATTTAAATTAATTTATTGCAACAACATCACATTTAACCGTAAATGTTTTCCTGCTTCAGTTTTGGGTTTTCAATTTCGTTATTTTAAAATGTTCATAAAATTGCTAAGTCATAATTTTTTATGTAATTGAAAAACGCAAAAGTTATTTATTTAAATAAGCTAAGGAATGAAAGTAGGGATTTAATATTAAATTTAAAAATAAAGAAAATTCGTATTGACGGAAATAATTCCCAAAAAAAATACACTGGACTATCTTACATACGTATATATATATATATATATATATATATATGTGAGTGTGTGTGTGTACGAAAACAATACAGTTCCGGTGATACTGATTAATGATTGATTAAAAATTTTAATGCATTTAATGCTCCATTTTAGCGAGGCTAAGTTAAACGCTACAAATAAAATACCGCGTTTTATAATGATCTTAAAGGGACATAGAGAATCGTTGTATTCGGAATATAAACAGAAAATGTTTGAAGATTGTATATTTCGTTATATTTTTAAATTTATCTATTAGTTGAGAGGTACTCGTATTTCAATTTTTTTTTTCATTATTTAATACATGAACATGAATAAGATAGATATATAAGCGTTACGTTAAAATTGGTATAGCACCTCGGTCTCCTGAGACTTAGATCCGACACAGGTCCAAACAAAACAGTACACAATAATATTTTA